AGCACTGTGATTCCTTTCGCATCGAGAAAATTGTCGAGGAGCATAACGCTGTGGGCGAATCCGAGAAGAAGCCAACTAAAACGCTGATGTTTTTAGAGGGTTGCCCTACCCGCCTTGGCTGCACGGTGAGTTCTTGACTGATTGTGGAGTATCATAAGTCATTAATGCTACTAGATATCTCTACTTTGGTAACAATAACATTAATACATCTTCCACTGTATGAAAGTCTTATAATAATAAATTCATTCAAAATTTGAATTCGTGACTTTGACCTTGGACTTTCTTGCATTCTAATATTGACATTTTGATATGTGACAGATTTTACTTAAAGGATGCCACAGTGATAGGTTGAAAAAGGTCAAAGAAGTAGTACAATATTCATTTATCATGGCATATCATCTAATGCTTGAGGCTTCTTTCCTTGCTGATCGGCATACAATGTTCTCAACCATCTTTACAAAGGAAGCTGCATCATGTGTTGTGGATGTGGAAATTGAAAAACTTCCACTATCTCCTTCTCCTCGTGTATCTGCCTCTGAAGCAGTTGATATTCCAGTGTCTAATGGATTCGATGAACAATCTATTCAGATAAATGGGGAAGCAGATGGTGAGAAAGTTGGAACTTGGGAATCAGATGGAGATCATGTGTTCTCTCACGAGCCATATAATCCAGTTATTTTCACTGGGTTCTCATCTTTATCTGCCAGATTAAGTAAATATTTAGGCTTTGTTCAAAATCCGGAGTCAGTTCCAGTTTCTGTGGATACAGATGTATCGAATGTCAGCAATCTTGATTCGATAAGGGAATCTGCGGAAGATACTGAAGAAAAGAATGAGGATAAACAACCAATGTTACTTGATCCTGAGCTTCCAGTAAACTCGAGTTCAGAAGATGGAGACAAGTCGCAAACGGAGAATGATATTGAGAGCACCTTGGAGTCTCAGAGTATATTGGTCTTAGTGTCAAAGAGGAATACCCTTAGGGGGATAATGTGTGACCAAAGGCATTTTTCACACATTAAGTTTTACAAACACTTTGATGTTCCCTTGGAAAAATTCCTGCGCGATATGTTTAATCAGGTTCGACTCTGGTGCTCTTGTAAATTTTAAATAAAATGCTGTTTTGTTCATATGCCAAGATTCATATGTGTTTGTGGCTCAAATTTGCTTTATGGAACTGTTTCATGATGCAGAGAAACCTATGCCAAACGTGCAATGAATTTCCGGAGGCACATCTTTACTATTATGCTCATCAAAATAAGCAACTAACAATCCAAATCAAGCGAATTCCGGTAGCAAAAGGTTTGTCAGGTGAGGCAAAAGGAAAAATCTGGATGTGGAGTCGTTGTGGAAAGTGTAAAACAAAGAATTCGTCCCGGAAATCAACAAAACGAGTGCTAATATCAACTGCTGCTCGTAGCTTGTCATTTGGAAAGTTTTTGGAGCTCAGCTTTTCTCAGCACACTTTTCTGAATAGATCGTCTAGCTGTGGGCACTCTTTCGACAGTGACTTCCTTCACTTCTTTGGGTATGTTTTTTGATCATGTTGCTTCACAATTTCACATGTTCTTACCAAGTAATTAATCATCAGTCAAGTGTTTAAGGCTTAGTTTTTTTAAGTCCATTCTTGGTTTTAGTGCTACAACGTAAATTTGATGAAAATTTTGGGAACTTTGTAACATGGATGATGGTTTGCGAGCTCTCATTATCTTTAAACTTGTACACAACTGCAGATTAGGCTCCATGGTTGCTATGCTCAGTTACTCCCAAGTCACATCCTACACAGTGTCTCTGCCACCCATGAAGCTGGAATCTAGCATTTTAATAAAAGCTGGTTGGCTTGAGAAAGAATTCCAAATAGTAAGTTTCTATTCTGAGTAAACAGTATTGTAGCTGTATTTTCTCATATGCAAGAAACAAATATTGCATCATCAGCTTTCTTTTCAGTTTACTTTGTCTGCTAAATAGTATGTCTTGCTTGGGCCAAGGGGCTGGCAAAAAAAATTGTAAAATGAATACGCAAGATGATCAATTTTGTGCTGATTGTTTCTATATTCTTGTTCAGGTATTCACTAAAGGGATCTCTTTGTTCGGGGACGCTACTGGTTTTCTTAAGAGACTAAGATCACAATTCAATTCAGATCTCAGATATCAGCGTGCACACAAACTCCTTTCTAACATTGAGGAGTTGCTGAAGCACGAGCGTCACATATTTGAGGTTAGCTTTGTGACTATTGCATATGGTATACAACTATCTTTGTTAAGTGATAGAGACAAGCTTATTAATATCTATTGTCTACAAATAGGAAAACATCAAGAATTCGTTTGACAAGGCTAAAACCATAGATGATGTTTCACACAGACTGCTCCGCTTAAACCGCATGAGGTGGGAACTTCTGCTTCAAGCTCTCATCTGGAACTACCGGTTGCAGTCGCTGGTTTTATCTGATCGTTTGCTACCTTCAAATGATGAGACGGAGATAAATGAACAAGGTTCGAAGACTGTTTCCGAGGCTGGAATGACCAGATATGAAAATGATGACAAAGTTTCTGATTCTGGTAACAATGGAGTCATGGACACTCCACTTGTTGAAGACAAAGATATACCAATCGCTGGAGCGTCTGTTGGGGATAATGATCAGATGGAAGAATCGTATGTGCCTGAAGACAATGAATCGCAAACTTTGGGCAGCTCCAGTCCTGATTCAACATCTCCCATCAACAATCATTTCGACACTCATTTGGCTGTTAATGTCCATTCAACCAATGGACAAGAAGCGAACAAATCAATTCCAGTCACTGGAGATTCATTGGATGGTGAGGTTGCTGCCTCTAATGGGCCATACATCTTAGGTTGGGATGAATGGTTTTGGCTGCCATTTGAAGAGCTACGCTCGAAGCGGATTGTCGATATTGAGAAGGAATACTTGTTGAAATTTGAGTACGTTAACAATTTTACCCAAGAAAACCTACAGACGGTGAACCAGATAATCACTGAGGAAAGTTCTCGTCTGCGCATCTCTTTGAAGGATGATGATTTCATTGTGTCAGACTATGAAGATGAGCTGTCCAGCCTAATTGCTTGCGCACTTGCCCACCTGAACAATGATGAGAATAGGAAGCCTCTTTCAAGGTGTATACATGGATCTCTTCAAGGGTTCTTAGATAATACTCAAGATTCTAAGCAAACTGACCGTGAGGTTTCCCGTTTCTCGAGTGAGAGTACAAATCGGTTGGAAACACTACCCCCTCCAGAGGTCCTTGTTACTTTTGGGTCACTCAAATCAATTGGAAAACCCAAATACTCTATCGTGTCCCTATATGCAGATGATTTCCGCGAGCTCAGAAAACACTGTTGTTCATCAGAGCTTGATTATATAGCTTCACTAAGCCGTTGTAAGCCATGGGATGCTAAGGGTGGGAAGAGCAAATCCGTGTTCGCTAAGACTTTGGATGATAGGTTCATCGTAAAAGAGATCAAGAAGACAGAGTATGAATCATTTGTGACATTTGCTCCGGAGTATTTCAAATACATGAAGGACTCGTATGATCTAGGCAACCAGACTTGTCTTGCCAAAGTTCTTGGGATCCATCAGGTACTGTCTCTAAAATCACCTTTGATCATTTGACCATTAGCATTTTCCTTCATCATCGTGATAAAATGGGTTGGGATTAGTGAAGGATCTTTGATCGTTATTTTCAGGTAACTGTAAGGCAGCCAAAGGGTGGCGGGAAAGAGATACGGCACGACCTGATGGTCATGGAGAATCTCAGTTTTGGCAGAAAAGTTACTCGCCAGTATGATCTCAAAGGCGCTCTGCATGCTCGGTTTACAGCCACTTCTGCTAATGGCGCAGACGATGTTCTATTGGATCAGAACTTTGTCAACGACATGAACAAATCCCCGCTTTACGTTAGCAAAACATCAAAACAAAATCTTCAAAGAGCGGTTTATAACGACACCAGCTTCCTAACCGTGAGTTTTTATCATCTCTCTCTTTCTCTCAGTATATCATACATATGTTCTCTTAGTTCTATTTCTGTTGTGTTACACAATCCACTTATCATAAATGGAAAACAAATCGCAGAGCATAAACGTGATGGACTACTCGCTACTGGTTGGAGTTGATGATGATAATCATGAGCTAGTGTGTGGGATCATCGATTATCTGAGACAATACACATGGGACAAGCAGTTAGAGACATGGGTGAAATCGTCTTTGGTGGTGCCAAAGAATGTGCAGCCGACAGTGATCAGCCCGATTGATTACAAGACGAGGTTCAGGAAATTCATGAAGACACATTTCTTGTGCGTCCCTGACCAGTGGTGCGATCAAGGAGACTCTTAAGGAAAAAAGCATATGATTATAGCTTGAAAGTAGGAAGATATTTGCTTATACCCGGTCTAAATCTCTCATATATATATTTTGACAAAAAAAGAAAAAAAAAATCTCTTATATGATTCTTTCATTTGATTAATTTCACATGTATATAGAGACAGCTCCAGTTTTATCTACCCCATCATTGTGCAGTTTTTAAGCAAGTTTCTGGGGTAGATTTAAGTGATTGGATTGTCTCTTGTGTCTGTCTTTTCTCCATTTCATTGAAAGGCAGATTCAAGCAAGTGAAAGTCTGTACTTCAAAAAAAAAAACAAAGTGTCGGTTGGTACATGTGAAAGTATTGTTTTTGTATAAGAAAGAAGAAAAGGAAAGTGTTTATTGTTACATTTGTTTGTCAAAGCATTGTGTTTGGTAACCCCAAGTCACTAGCCTAACCGCTACAACTTGCAATCCCTTGACGATATTCGACCCAAGTTATGCAGAAATATGAATCTAACTGTTTTGTAGAGAGTTTAGTCGAACAATCAGTCGAAGATAGTTGAACAACTCGAAAACCCGACCATTGGATCCAAACGCGGTCAAGTCGTCGCGTTGACACTAGTGTTCAGTGGTTATAATATTTTGAAAGAAAACTCTTATATGGTTTAATATTTTCGGTGAACCCAAGGGAACATGTATTTTAAAGTGGCCATAACAATGTTGGTAAACAAAACAAATACAAAGTAAAAGACAAAAAATAAAAGAACACTTTCTATCTTTTGGATTTGGTTACATAATTCAGATACATTGACATCGAAGTGGAACAGAAGCACCTGCTGGTTTTCTCCTTTCCCTAATCACCGCTTCCTTCACCATTGGCACCTTCTGCTGAACCTTTTTCCATATGTGATTCACCGCACCATGGGGTTCGATCGGTCCAATCCCATCGGCTTGACCATTATCATACACAAAAACTGTCTGAACCTTTGCCATTCTACCTCTGAATGTTTCCTTCTCTCTTTCAGAGAACCTTCTGAGATGATTAGCCAACCATTTAGGTGTTAATGCATCACTTACAGAGATAAAGACCGAGAATTCTGAGTAATCGATCATTCCCTCAAACGGGAGCTCTATGGTGTCGCTAACAATCACAGGGATGCATAGACTTTGAATGGCATCAAAGAGACGGCATGAAGTGGGAGTGTCACCGGCTGGATGTAAGCAGAACTCTGAGTTTCTCATTCCTCTTATTGATTGTTCCCTTCCTGTTGCATTAGGGAAACCTTCTTCCATGACAACGCCGGGTTCATCGACCAGCAAGTCCCATAGTTTTTCTCTGATTAACCCTCCCTGTCAAGTTAAAATTATACAAAATAATTTAAGAGATCTTGACACACAAAAACTTAGTAGAGAACAGACCATTTTGCTATGCATAAACACAAATAATATATTCTAATGTCGCCACACACTATACATATAAACAAACGCAAATGCATCAAGCAATCGAGGCCGAAGTCTTTTCAAGATTGGGAAACACTATAATTTTCAAGACAACAGTACATTTACTCTGTCACAGATACCTCATGAGCCATGAACTCACTCACAAGAACAATGGAATGTATCAGATAAAGAAATGAGTTTCGTATAAGAGTAGTTACCCGATGTCTGTGCTTAGCGCCTTTGAAATAAAGAAGGCTATGACGTCTCTGGTTACGAGACAAATCTAGTCTAGGAAGCAGATGCGTGTATGGAACTATCACATCCTTAATGACAGAGACTTGAGTATGCTCTATCCTCTCAGGCAAGCTAGTCCCGTTAGACGACTTAGAATCTTGCCTAAACCATCCTCCAAAATCCACCACAAGAAGAATCGATAAAGCAATCTCCTCACGAACATGCCACATTGCAACAGGGTCTGCCAAAGAACGCTTCAACATTTTAACTTAACCTGACACACAATCCACACATATAACTTATATAAGCTTCTACACCAAATCTAGAGACACCCACATGACAAACTTTCTCAAATCTATAAACTATAAGATCCAGATTTGTCAAACTAAGTCCAAACAAGTTACAAAGACATGATTTTTCATATATAAAAAAGAGAAACTTTTAGTACCAGTTAGAACAAAAACGTGATCACGACCATTGGATCGTTTCCAAGCTTCAGTGTTCTTGACAAAATCAAGAACTTGTCTCTGTCTCTGATAATCTTCGTTACCATTCTTCTTCCTAAACGAACCTTTTCCATTTCCAAGCTCCATCTCTGCACTTAGAGTCGCAAAGAACGGCACGAAGACTACATCAGCATCAGATTCACTAAAAACCCTTTTAGCAAAAGATCCAATTCGTTTCTCCGGTGAGGTTTCTAGGTCTCCCATGATCCAATACTCGGCACTGTATTGCTTAATCAACGGATTCTCTGGGTACGGTGGGTATTTATCGGGTTTGGGTAAATGGGTTTTACGGGTCGGGTGATCTGGGTCACTGGGTATGCGTGAATCTGGTGAAGAAGAGGACCAGTATTTGTCGAGAAGACCATAGTTTAGGGATCTTGGAAGCTCAGCTACATAGACATTGATACCGTTTTGGAGAGTATTGTGTGAAATTCTCGGATTTGGGTTGGAGAGTAAGGAATTGGAGAAGAAGAAGAGAAGCGAGACGACAAAGAGAAGAGAGAAAGAGAGGAAGATAGAAGGAATTGAACAGAGAGGTCTAGTAGACGCCATTGATGCGATCTTAGGAACCATCTTCGATGAAAGATCTCTCTGCTTTTGCTTCACATTGAGAGATGAGTTCTTATAACTTTGAATCATCTGGGTGAATCAGAGGCACACACATTATAATCAACCTGCCGTTTTACTTGTAGGGTTTTGAAAACTTCTTGCCGTTTTTATAAAACTGCTTGTTGTTTTAGTTGATGTCTAATTTTTTTTTTTTTTTTTTTGATGTCTAATTTTGAAATGTCAACTTTGGAGACTATCTGAGAGTAATTTATTAATTAAAGAGAAAAAACAAAAGTCATTTTAGTCTTCATTGATAACAGAGGAAAGAGAAGAAGAAGCTTCACAATCGCAACAATGGCGGAGAAGAAGCCATTTCTCAAACTTCTTCCTCTTGTTCTTCTTCTGCTTCACTTCCCTTTCTCATTCTCTACCATACCTCTCGGCTCTGTTATTTTCGCCTCCGGTTCCAACCAGAATTGGCCATCTCCAAATTCCACTTTCTCCGTCTCTTTTGTACCAGCTTCTTCACCTAATTCATTCCTCGCCGCCGTTTCTTTCGCCGGAAACGTTCCGATATGGTCAGCGGGAACCGTTGACTCTCAAGGATCTCTTCGACTTCTCAAATCCGGCTCTCTCCGTCTTACCAACGGCTCCGGAACCACAGTCTGGGATTCTAAAACTGATCGTCTCGGTGTTACTTCCGGTTCGATTGAAGATTCCGGTGAATTTATTCTCCGCAACAACCGAAGCATTCCGGTTTGGTCTTCCTTCGATAATCCGACGGATACAATCGTCCAATCGCAGAATTTCACCGTCGGTAAGATTCTCCGATCTGGTCTTTACTCGTTTCAGTTAGAGAGAAGTGGGAATCTTACTCTTAGGTGGAACACTAGCACTATTTACTGGAATCTTGGTCTCAATTCTTCGATTAGCTCGAATCTAACGTCTCCTAGCTTAGGTTTAGTATTACGGACTAATGGAGTTGTGTCGATCTTTGATTCGAATCTTCGTGGCGGAGTTGACACCGTTTACAGTGGCGATTACGGTGATAGCGATACTTTTAGGTTTTTGAAGTTAGATGATGATGGAAATTTGAGAATTTACAGTTCTGCGAGTAGAAACAGTGGACCTGTGAATGATCATTGGTCTGCTGTTGATCAGTGCCTTGTTTATGGATATTGTGGGAACTTTGGGATTTGTAGTTACAACGATACTAATCCGATTTGCTCGTGTCCGTCTGGTAACTTTGATTTTGTTGATGTGAATGATAGAAGAAAGGGATGCAGAAGAAAAGTGGAGCTAAGTGATTGCTCTGGTAACACAACTATGCTTGATTTGCCTCACACAAGGTTATTTACATACGAAAACGATCCAAACTCAGAAATTTTCTTTGCGGGTAGTTCGCCTTGTAGAGCTAATTGTCTTAGTAGCGTTACTTGTCTTGCTTCTGTCTCTATGTCTGATGGGTCAGGCAATTGTTGGCAAAAACAACCTGGTTCCTTCTTTACCGGGTATCAGAGGCCATCGGTTCCGAGTACTTCTTATGTTAAAGTGTGTGCTCCAGTGGTTTCTAACCCACCTTTGATTGCAACAAAAGTTGACAGTAACAACTCGAAAGTGCATTTGTGGATTGTCGCAGTTGCTGTAATGGCTGGGCTTCTTGGTTTGGTTGCAGTAGAGGTAGGTCTCTGGTGGTGTTGCTGTAGAAAGAATCCTCGGTTTGGAACTTTATCGTCTCACTACACTTTGCTTGAGTACGCTTCTGGTGCACCTGTGCAGTTTACCTATAAGGAGCTGCAGCGTTGCACCAAAAGTTTCAAAGAGAAGCTTGGAGCTGGAGGGTTTGGAACTGTGTATAAAGGGGTGCTCACAAATAGAACCGTGGTTGCAGTGAAGCAACTCGAAGGAATAGAGCAAGGAGAGAAGCAGTTTAGGATGGAGGTTGCTACCATTAGCAGTACACACCATCTGAATCTAGTCAGACTGATCGGGTTTTGCTCCCAGGGAAGACACAGGCTTCTCGTCTATGAGTTCATGAGAAACGGATCTCTCGATAACTTCCTGTTTACTACTGATTCAGGGAAGTTCTTGACTTGGGAGTATCGGTTTAGCATTGCGCTTGGGACGGCAAAGGGAATAACTTACCTCCACGAGGAGTGCCGCGACTGCATTGTACACTGCGACATTAAACCCGAGAACATTCTCGTGGATGACAATTACGCTGCCAAAGTCTCGGACTTTGGACTCGCCAAACTCTTGAACCCAAAAGACAACAGATACAACATGAGCAGCGTTAGAGGAACAAGAGGCTATTTAGCGCCTGAGTGGCTCGCAAATCTTCCCATAACCTCAAAATCGGATGTCTATAGCTATGGAATGGTTCTACTAGAGCTAGTCAGTGGAAAAAGGAACTTTGATGTCTCGGAAAAAACGAACCACAAGAAATTCTCGATCTGGGCATTCGAGGAGTTTGAAAAGGGCAACACCGAGGCAATCCTAGACACACGTTTAGGCGAAGATCAAACTGTTGATATGGAACAAGTGAGGAGAATGGTTAAGACAAGCTTCTGGTGCATACAAGAGCAGCCATTGCAGAGGCCCACAATGGGGAAAGTGGTTCAAATGCTAGAAGGAATCACAGAGATAAAGAAGCCGCCATGTCCAAAGACCATAAGCGAAGTATCGTTTTCAGGGAACAGTATGAGCACAAGCCATGCATCTATGTTGGTTGCTTCAGGTCCGACTCGATCATCCTCTTCGTCTGCTACACGGTCTTTTCAGACAATGGGGATCACATCGTCTGGACCGGCTTCCACAAGGATCAGTGAAGGCTCTATGCTTGGATCATAAAAATTGTTGTATTGTGATTTTTTTTTTTTTTCGGTCAGTTGTATTGTGATTAGTAATGTCTAGGTTTGTTTTAATTTACTTATTGCATACGTTATAATTGTATAGGAACACTGCAAAGGGAATAAGTATTTATCTTTTTTTTTTGTTGATAAAATTCATATTCAAAGTTGTGGAATGGTTTTAAGAAGCGAGAACTACAAGTCGAATATGACATTTCTCACATTAGAATTTAGACCTTCAAGGGAAAATTGCATATACTATAAATGTGATCTCGGGGTTGAAAGAAATTTAAGATCTCTATTTTGTTCCAATATTGTTGCGTGTATGTCGTGTCATGGGAGTATGAGAAACTCGTCGTGGGAAGAAAAATAAAGCAAAGAGAATTTATAGAAACTAACCTTGAATTCAAAAAGAATTCACAAACTAACCATGAGCTACAGTATCCTGTCTGTAACATGTCGGAATGTCTGTGTAATTACGTATATGCCCTTTGTAACACGCTTTTTTTTCGAATTACATGTGATAGCATAATATATCTCTTTTTATCATGTATTTTCTCGTACTACATGTTATTTATAAAAAACACATAGTATTTCTCGAAAAAAACATTATATTCAGTGTAATATCTGTCTTTATCATGTTATTTTGTAATAATACACGTGTTTTATTAAGATCACATGTGAATATCTGTCTTTATCATGTTATTTGGTAATAAAACGCGTGTTTTATTAAGATCACATATGATTTCTTTTTTTAAAAGATGATTATTTTTTAGTAATACACGATTTTTTTTAAGATTACATGTGATTTTTTTTTTAAAAGTTACTATTCAGATTAAATTTTCCATGTCAATGTTTTTTCTTAAAATAACAATACATAACAATGTTTTTTCTTAAAAATTCACTATGTTTTTTAAAATATCATGTCTTTTAGTTAAATATAACATGCGAAATTTAAATGTTACATGCTATTTTCAAAAATTTCACGAAACTGTCTTATTTTTTTATATCCAGCGACAAAGTTCTTGTAATTACTATAACTTACAAGGATAATTTCGTATTTATCCTACCCCTACCCCACAAGAAAAAGAGTTAGTTACCAAAAGTTTCTGACGCATGGTTACTTCCTTAATTCATGTGTTTTTTTGGCTACTTTGTAATATTTCCCTAAAGCAAAAGCTCCCACATTTGTTAACTCAACAAGTCATTTGTGTTTATTTGGTTATATGTATAACTTTTTTTGTAATTTTTTTTTAATGAATTTTGTCCACGGAATTAAGTAATTTGTACAAATTTAATAAATAAATAAATTAAAATGAAAAAGAAAAAAAACTAAACATCTCTTAATTTAATAATCATAGCAATCAAAAGGTTCTAGAGACATCAAATCCGGAAAAAGGTTAAAATAAAAGATTATAATCATAAAAACTGCGTCACATTCAACGAAGTGAATCCAATTACCATCATTAGCCGTAAATAAAATTCGATCCTCACGAAGATATTTATTTGTCAAAGTTGGTTTATCTCATTTTGTTTGATCATCAAACTCCAACACCCATAGATTAAATTAATTTCTAGTATACAGTCTCCTAATTATTAGTCACCCACATATTTTCAACAAACATTTATATGTCTAATCACTATAAATTTTTGAACGCGTTTTAGAATAAATAAGTCAGGTGCCTTTTTTTTGTTCTTTGTATTAAGAGTGTGGGGGCGAAAGAATTAGTTACAAAAATTATAAATTGAAATTTGGAATCATTTGACCAAAAATTTGAGCCAGAAAAAAAGAAAAAGAAAAGAAATATGGAATCAAAATATTCATGATGAATTGCGATGGAGACAGAAGAATATAAATCAAAAGATGAAAATTTGACCAATGTGAACTTGTTGAAACGTGGAATTGGTCCAAAAAGAGGCAATATTATCATTAAATTAGCAGTTAAATACGTAGATCAGAAATAATTTCACTTGGCTCATCATTGATAATGGTTTAGGATCATGTTTATGAAAACTACTTTTGAAAGCAATTTCTGTTTTTTGATAACTAACTACTACTATTGAAATCTTAAGACTTTTTTTTATATATACTATAATAAAACAAATTAAAAAAATAAAAGTACAAACAGAAAACATTTTAAAAAAAAATTATTACTATCATTCATAAGAGTTTAGTGAAAAATTCAAAGAATAAGCTATCATATTTATTCAAATCGAGGTTTGTGATGAGCTTATGTGTTCGAATTCTCGACCCATCAACTCTATATGATTCACATAAAAGTGTCTCTTGTAATTTTGTTTTTCTTTTGAGTAATGAGTAATACAAATTTACATTCCAAAAAGAAATGATCATACCATTTGAAGTTCCAAATCATTTCATAGCTTTATCTTTTATGTAATAAATAAGCTATGGGCCATCGCATTCCATTTATTTAAATAAAATACTAAATGATGATAACAATTATTTTACTATATGATATCAACAAATTATTTTTTCAAGCTTCCTACCTTTGACCATTGCTATAAAGCTATTATGACATTGCCACACATAGGTAATTTGGTAAAACATTGTAATTTGAAGCCTACTTTAGATTCTGTCGTCCTTTATTTGGTAAAAAGTCAACTTTCATTTTCAAAACTAGATATGCATACACATGTTGACTGATTTTTCTTCTCTTTTTCTATTTCAGGGATCTACAATAATATTTACCAAAGACTTTCTTCATTCACACAACAAAAAGAATAAAATGGTAAAATATTTTAAAATTAACTACTTGATACAACTTAATTTACTATTTGGAATATCTAACCAAAAAAATCTTATCTTGTACTTTTTTCTCTATACATATAAGCATATGCATATTTAACTACTTGATACACCTTAATTTACTATTTGGAATATTTAACAAAAAAATCTTATCTTGTACTTTTTTCTTTATATAAACATAATTTTTTCTTTTCGTCTAAATAATATTAAATTGGAATGATTGCAAATAGAGGAAAAAAACAGCTTAAAAATCGCAAGAAAAAAACAATATTTACCCTAAAACTTAAAACTCGAGGAAAACAAATTTGACCTCTTATATTTTCTGGAATGGATGAATCTCTAACTCTGATTTATTTTTTTCCAAGTTATTCTGGTTGAAAAAACTTCAATGAAATTCACTAAAAATATCATATAAGCGTAGATTTCAATATGTAAATAATTTTTCTTTACAACCTAAAATAATTCTAATTATTATGGAGTAACATTTGATAATTTAAATTCGTTGCAACTTGTTGGATATTTTTTTTTAATAAAAATATGTAATGAGATGAGTTTTGAAGAGTGTAAAAATGGGTAAAACGAGAAAAGGCCTTTGGGGGTTGAATTTTTTTGGCTAACTTCACCATCTGACACTCTCCAACTCTCAACAGAACCCAAAAAATTCAATTAATCTCTCTTCTCTTTCTCTCTCTCTTTCTCGAGTCGCGTTTCTTCTTCTCTTTTCCTTGTAGACATCTCCACGATTCTTCACCTCAAAACTCGTCACTTCTCTCTACAGCTTTGCTCAAGAACCAGCTCAAGTATCGAAGAAGAAGAAGAATCTGACTTCAATCTGATTCCCAGATCCGAGTTTCTGACTCTTAGGTCTTTCACAATCTCGACTCTTCATTGAAGCTACTGATTTGAATTTCGTAGAAGAGTTAAATTCAAGATCAGAGTTTTTCAAGTTTCTCCGTTGAGGTTTTTTCGCTTATGGAGAGTTTCGAGAGAGTTTAATTTGGATAAACAAATTTGGTAACTTGTTGTGATGGGTGGGCTTTGTTCGAGGAGTTCATCTGTAAATAATGCTCCTGGTGGAAGCTTTGCACATGTTAATGGTCATCTCAATAACAATAATGGCTCTGAGGTGAATTTTCAGTCTTCTGGTGATGGTGGAGAGAAAGATGTTGCTGATCCTTCTCTTGTTAGGGAGAATGTGGATAATAATAATAAACATACTTCGGAATCGTTTTCTTTTCCTATAGTCTCTGGTGGATCTCATCCTCAAAACATCGAGGATGGGATTCCTCGGTTATCAAGGGTTTTATCTCAGAAATCTAGATCCACTAAGTCTAGACAAGCTGCTGTAGCTAAGGTAAAGAAATTGTTTCCTATAGGGTTTAGTTTCTCAGTCCAATTTTATTATACTAAGGTGTGTTTCTGTTTATAGGTTTCGGAAGTAAGCTCTCTTTTGGGTAGAGCTGGTACTATGGGACTTGGTAAAGCTGTTGATGTATTGGATACATTAGGGAGTAGCATGACGAATTTGAATCTTAGTGGCGGGTTTTCTTCTGCGACGACGGTTAAAGGGAATAAGATATCAATCTTGTCGTTTGAAGTTGCTAATACTATTGTTAAAGGTGCTAATCTTATGCATTCTCTTTCGAAAGATAGTATTACTCATTTAAAAGAGGGAGTGTTACCTTCAGAAGGTGTTCAAAATTTAATATCGAAAGATATGGATGAACTGTTGAGGATAGCTGCTGCTGATAAAAGGTAACAACAGTATGTGACGATGTTCTGTGTTGATGCTGTTTTCTATTTGTAGTTTGGAGTTAAGTGACAGTTTATTTATCGTACACAGGGAAGAGTTGAGGATTTTTTCGGGAGAGGTGGTGCGTTTTGGGAATCGTTGCAAGGATCCTCAATACCACAACCTGGATCGTTTCTTTGACAGGTTCCAACATGATCCTGTTACTTTGGTCACACAACGGGTGTATTCTTTTTGGAAAGTATCTGACCTTTCATTAGTTCTGTGTTATGATTTAGGTTGGGCTCTGAATTTACACCCCAGAAACATTTGAAACAGGAAGCAGAAACCATAATGCACCAGCTTATGTCATTTGTTCATTTTACAGCTGTAAGTATTTTCATGCAAATTGGTGATATTTGGTCTTGTTCGACTCTCTTGATGGCAACTTACTCTGATTATCTGCTATGCTTTCAGGACTTGTATCATGAACTCCATGCGCTGGATAGGTTTGAACAAGATTACCAACGTAAGATCCAGGAAGAAGAGAACCCAAGCACAACACAACGAGGTAGGTACCATGTAGAAATATATTTAATTGACTAAATCCATTAGATATATCTTTGGAAATGAATGATATTGTTTACACTCTATTTTCTTTTATTTGTTGTTTATCGTTCTCATTTCCCTTCCATTTTTGCTAGGTGTAGGAGATACCCTCGCTATCTTGAGAACAGAATTAAAGAGTCAGAAGAAGCATGTAAGAAACTTAAAGAAAAAATCTCTTTGGTCTAGGATCTTGGAAGAGGTAAGGGCTGCAAACTGATAAATCATTACGATTTCCTTTTTCTTGAAGTCTATGGGTACATATGGACTCCACTCTAAATTCTTGACAATACTAATAATGCTTAGGTGATGGAGAAACTCGTAGATGTTGTCCATTTTTTGCATTTGGAGATTCATGAAGCCTTTGGTGGTGCAGGTGAGGCTCTTATTAGATAAACCGTTTTAGTCTATTTCAGCTATCAGGAGGATTGAGTAATTAGTGTATTCTTTTTTTTGGTATCCAAAATGTAACAAATGCCTACAAATCATGATCATTCTACCTCATATGCAGATCTTGATAAGCCTGCAAATGACTCAGCAATCAATCATAAAAAATTAGGCTCTGCTGGTCTTGCCTTACATTACGCAAACATCATTACTCAAATTGATACTCTTGTAAGTTATTATTCTTTTTTTGTCACTTAGTTTTAGTTTCCGTGTTTGACCTGTTGTCCAAATTCTGGTTGCCTGGGATTTTAAATCGTATGTTTCCCATATCCAATGGTTACCCGATCTCGTTAGTAATATCAATATTATTGGACCCATAGCGACTTCGGTTTGTGGAATGTATTTAAATTAGTTATTTTCTCATTTTAATGAGTAGGTGTCCCGGTCTAGCACTATGCCTGCAAGCACAAGAGATGCTTTGTATCAAGGCTTACCCCCAAGCATAAAATCTGCTTTACGCTCCCGAATACAGTCCTTCCAGGTTAAAGAAGAGGTATAATACTGTTTCACACTGCGGTATGCTGATAAGATGAATTTACCACGTCCATCGTTACTTGAAATGTTATCTGTATGCCTGCTCACATCACTATATCTGATCTGATTTCACCAGCTCACTGTTCCTCAAATAAAAGCTGAAATGGAAAAAACGTTGCAGTGGCTTGTTCCGGTTGCTACAAACACTACCAAGTAAGCTTCTGTGATGTTTTCTTTCTCTCTATCTTGGTTTTGTGTCATCATTAGAACTATGTTCTCACTTAAACCATGTATTTTTCGGCGGGTCAATGGATCATGCTATCTGTCTTAATTCTCTTTCAACAAAAGCATGTAAAGTCAGTCAGACTTATTCTTCTGTCTTTTCTTTTCTCAACCAGAGCGCATCATGGGTTTGGATGGGTTGGAGAATGGGCAAGTTCCGGGTAATCCCTGATTACAAGCTGACTCTTAGGCTATTCTCTCTTTGCATTCCTTGCTAAATGTTAGATTATGCAAAATAATTTCAGATCGGAGGCGAACCAGAGACCTGCAGGTCAAACCATACTAAGGATAGATACTCTTCACCATGCAGATAAAGAAAAAACCGAGGCTTACATATTAGACCTGGTGGTGTGGCTTCATCATCTCGTAACCCAAGTCAGGGCCACTACAGGTTATGGCCTAAGATCTCCTGTTAAGTCTCCAATCAGATCACCAAACCAGAAAACGATCCAACTCTCCAGCGGTTCGCACAACCCAAGTCTGGGTTCTCCGTTGCTGACTACGGAGGATCAAGAGATGCTTAGAGACGTAAGCAAGCGGAGAAAGACGCCAGGAATAAGCAAGAGCCAAGAGTTTGAAACGGTGGCTAAAACACGGCTTTGTAAGCACCACAGGCTAAGCAAAAGCAGTAGCCACTCGCCGATGATGGGCGAGATGATGAAGAATAAGAAGGATACTTTCTCAACCAGAAGACCTTCTTCTGTTCCCATCATTGATTTTGACATTGATCGCATGAAAGCCCTCGATGTGATTGATCGCGTGGACACCATTCGAAGCTTGTAGTTAACTACTTCCACACCATCGGAGTTCAGATTGGGATAGATGGTAAAGAGTAAAGACCACACTCACTTATCATCAAAAGTTGATGATATGAATCGGAATGCGATTGATCCCACAGGTGCCATCGAAACCCTTTATAGGTGATGAAAATTTGGCAGAGCTTATTAGTAACTTTGTACTCTTTTTGGTTTTTGTGGGTGTAATTTGGTTTGGTTTTGTAGCATTTCCTTTGTATTGTTGTTCTTTTTCTTGTTGTAGACTAGTTGTATTGTGTACATACAAGAAACGTTACTACATATATTTGGAGAATAAAAATATATTATCTTCTCAAATGGATTAAATTCGAATTTAGACTAATAATCACCAGAGAAGCAACTATAATTGAGAATCATATTTTGTTGTACTCCCTCTGTTTCACAAAAAGTGTCATTCTATCATTTTTCACACAAATTAAGAAAAGTAAACAAATTTTATTTCCACCCTTTATTAATATACTAAATAATAGTCTCTCTCTAATTAATAAGCTAGAATAGCAGGGATAAAAAAAAGAATTAGTCTTTAAAACTGCATTGAAAACACAAAACGACACTCTTTGTAAAACGAGATTAAAACCTTAAAACGACACTCTTTGTGAAACAGAGGGAGTATTAATTATTAGCAGTAATTAACATTTGTAAAACGCCATAGTTGTACTTAACATTACATCGCAAAATTGATCCGAAACCCGGACCGATACCTAGAAAAAAAAAACCGGTTTGGGACGGGTTAGAGTAAGAGGAAATTACTTCATAGGGTAAAGTGTTGGTAAATCCGTGGATACCGGTCCGGTTCGGAGATTACCCATTACCCAAACCGGGTATCCATAAACCCAATGCAAGACATGTGTATATATACATATATAGATATAGTCTTATACATTTATAAGTTAGTCCTCGCCTACCTTTTTTCGTTTGAGTTTCCTTATCAAATCCCTCGAATATCGGCTTCTCTGCTTAAAATCCCTTTGAGTCTCATTATCAAACTGGAAACCCTCGTTGCTAAACTCTCGGCCACCTTACCGTCACCGAACATCCTGATCAACTCACCACCGACAGCTCTATCGCGAAATCAATCAGAGGTTAGTTCTTGCAATGAGGTTGGATCTACATTTCTGATTTTAGTTGGAATTCTCGAATCTCGATTCTATTTTGCAATTTTAGTTCCGATTTTATTTAAGCCGTTTGATACTCAGATAGTTTATTACTAGATTTAGTCAATTTGTTATGAAAGATACAGAGTCATATGTTTGTGCTTTTTGAAAGATACATCGATGTCTAATGTCTTGATAAGTTTTTGAAAGAGATGTGGTCTTGTCTTGTTCTTGTTGTTAATTTTGTCAAGTTTTTTTATGTAGATGGCGTCAAATGAAACTCAACCTCCAAATGATTTTGATGATGTTGAATTAAGTGGAAATGATGATGATGATGATGTTTAAACTTCTACTTCTGGAAATAAGGGGAAGCATAAAGAGAAAGAAACTGGAGATGAAGGTGACAGACAGGGCCGGCCCGACGTCATATGACGCCTAAAGCACACATAAAATTGATGCCCTTTCACCGCAACTAAAATTTTTCCAAAGTATAATGAAACACAAGGCAAGACAACAAGGGAATCATTCTAATTCAATTGTTTATCGTATAATTTTATATTAATTAGTAGTATTAGTTAATAATATATTAAAGAAAAGTTAGATAAATCAGAATTTTTTCAATAAAGAAAAAATGGAAAAAACAATCGTTTGTGGAATCTTGATGAAAAAAAAAATCAAATCGTTTTGATTTTGTGAAGGTTCGAATCCGTTACCACAGACTTAAAAACAGAGAACTATAACCACTACACCAAAGGAACTTATTAGTATTTGATGCCCCAAAAGTTTATATATTATTTGGCGCCTAAAGCAAGGGCTTCATGGGCTTTAGCCCAGGGCCGGCCCTGGTGACAGAGGTAGTAGTTCTAAAAAGAAAAAGAAGACAAGTAGTCGGTCCTATGTTTGGGATCACTTCACTGAACAGAAAAAGAATCAAGACAAGTGCAATTGCCATTATTGTGGGAAAGGGTTGACTTGATGATTCAAAACAGTTAAAAAATAGTTGACACAAATATGAAAGGGGAATCATAGATTTAAATTATAACCAAATCTTCTAAATATCTTTATTATTAAATAATGTAATTAGTGGATACGATCCAATTTTGGTAATATTTGTATCCGATTTTTAGGCAAATATTCGGTGGAAGAGTTGGGTTACATATAACTCAATCCAAAAAATTTTTAATGAAGTAAATTTTGTATCGGGTCGGGTACCAAAAATTTCGGATAAATTTTTAACTCGTCCAATACCAAATGTACTTTAAAAATACTAGTATAGATATGAATTTTACAAATACTAATTACTATTTCATCACCAAAACTTAAAGAGTGGTGACTTTGCATTTAATTTTATGTTCAAAAGGCACATGCTTTTCTCCACGTGATATTAGCTTAAACAGTGCCGCTAATTAAAGTATTAGGAATAATAATAGCATATCATAATCAATCTTTTAAGAATTAGATTGACGATCTTATAATATTTTTTATACTACATTAGATTAGGAACGTCTGATAGACGGGTTTGTATTTTTTTTTTAATTAAAATTAACAAAATAAATTAAATTAAAATTGGTTGTAAGTAGAAATTATCTTTAAAATATATAGAATTTTTTTAGTTAGAAAAAGTTATTTATGTCTTACTAAACAATTTGCATTTGTAAATTTTAAATTTATTCTAATGTTTATTACAATAATCTAGTAAAATTAAATTATCAATCACCAAAACTTTTTCCAAATTTTTTTCATTATTATTATTGTCAAATCTCGAAAACCATAATTTTATCATCTCGCCTAAAATAATTTAACAATTTTTTTAGAAAATGTTTTAGATGCAAACCACTGGTTAAGCCATCATCTTATTTACATCTATTACCAAATTTACTATTTATTTTACATATATATATATATAATTTTTTTTTACACGTGTCACGATCATATGAATTACTAACTTTGCAAACTAAGCTTTATATAATAATTTACTAACTTTGAAAACTAAACTTTATATAGTAAATATTTACGGTGTATACTATCATTGTTATGTTTGTAAGTTTAGTGTACACTTGCTTTGCTCCGTGAATCCACCACCTCTCACTATTGAAAAGCTAGACCACACTCTTACCCCCTTTCTTAGAAAACTCCATTTGCCCATGCTTGTGTCTTTTCACTTGAGGATCGCAATAATTCAGTTTACTCTTGTATGCTATATAACTACATGGTCCATAGAACATGTATCAATAGAACGTACATGATCTTTTAGATATGAAAGTTGATCGTACAAAAAGAGAAAAGCTTTACCAATAGAACGAAGTTGAATCAATAGTGGTGTTTTTAAAAAATTTATTTTTTATGGTGAAAAAATATGAACATTCTATTTGTTTATATAGAGGTGAGTATTTACAATCTTTTGTCTTTTAGGATATTAATTAATTATATAATTTCTTAAATCCTTTTTAAAGAAAAAAGTAATCCTGTTTTTTTAGAATTAGTAACTTCAAATTAAAATAAGTAATTTTTTGTATAATTTCTATTTTATAATAAGATACATATTGCTTCCTTATAATTATCTTTCTATATATAACTTTTATGGAAACTTTATGTATAGTTTCTTTATAATTATATTTTTACATTTTTAAGATTGTTTACGTTCATAATTTCTTACAATTATCTTTATATAATTTTAAAATTGTTAAAAGAATTTTTTGTTTTACACATGTCAAAATCCGAAATTAATAAAGTTGTCACGTGTCACAATCATATGAGTTACTAGTTTTGAAAACAAAGCTTTATATAATAAAATATACGTATAGTTTTCTTATAAACTTTTTTTCTTAAATTTCTATTTTTATTCAATAAGATACATATAGTTTCCTTATGATTATCGTCTTTAGATTTTTAGAATTGTTTTATATAAGATATGTATCTATACGATGAACCACACTATTACACGATATATTTTCTTAAATCATCACTTGCCAACGTAAAGAAACCTTCGCTTAAAGCATGTGATTTTTGAAAAACAAATTAAGGAGCATATATTTATTAGTGAGATGTCGTTTATCTTCAATTTAATTCTATAAATATAAATGTCATACAACGTTGAAACTTAACATATAAAAAAAACTTTAGAAAAATATAGGTTTCTACAATCTAATTTCAAACAAGGAATTTTAATTTATTCATTAATTAAAAAAAGGGAAACTCACAAAAATGCCTATTTTTCAATACCTCTTTTCAAAAATGCCCCTTTTGGCTGTCTATTTTTAAAAATACCTCTTTTTATGTACAAAATGACTAAATTACCCTTCTTTTAATAATAGATATCACAAATATATAAGGAAATATAACAAAATTAGGTCCACAAAATACAAAATAATTTTTGGCGGGAAAAGTGATCCCGCAATTTTTCCCGCCAAAACACTTGTAAAACCTTTAAAATACCTTGTAAAATTTTCCCGTAAAATTTTTTCCCGCCAAAAAAATTTCCCGCCAAATTTTTTTTTTTGCGGGAAAAGTGATTCCGCAATTTTTTTGGCGGAAAAATTTTTGGCGGGAAAAATTTACAAGGTTTTTTACTGGGTATTTATAAGGTTTTACAATGTATTTTAAAAGGTTTTACAACGTATTTATAAGGTATTTATAAGATATTATAAGATTTTACAAGCTATTTTATAAGGTTTTACAAGTTATAAGGTTTTACAAGTTTTTTATAAGGTTTTACAAGTTATAAATACCTTATAAAACCTTATAAGTACCTTGTAAAACCTTTTAAAATACATTGTAAAACCTTACAAAACACTTGTAAATACTCTGTAAAACCTTTAAAATACCTTGTAAATTTTTTCCGCCAAAAATTTTCCCGCCAAAAAAATTTCGCCAAAAAAATTGCGGAATCACTTTTCCCGCAAAAAAAATTTTTTGGCGGGAAAAATTTTTACGGGAAAATTTTACAAGGTATTTTAGTTTAGCTTTTTTATCTATAAAATATTTATGATATTTTTTTAAATATATCAAGTTAAAATATTTTTAAATTTTCCAAATTAAAATATTTAAAAAGTTTATTGTAGTATATAAAATTATATATTTCAAAAAAAGAAAGGTATAAAATTGAGTATAAATATTCAAATTCCGACCAGTTACTTAGTTTGAAATTTTGTTGAATTTATTTTTGTTTAAAATAAATATATTACTCAAGTGTAAATTTTTGACCAATTACAATTTTTCTTCATAGATTAAACAATTTATATTTGTTTTTAAAAACTGAAGTCTAAATTTTTGACCCATTTCAGTTTTTTCTTCATATATTAAACAATTTATATTCATTTAAAAAAATTCAAATCATGGCATATGCAGAAAAAAAATTAACTATATATTTCTATATCGTTTTTGTTTTCTTGTATAGCAATTCTTGCAACGAAAAATTCTTCTCTGTTACAAATTACAAATTTACACGAAAGACCAAAAAAAGATAAAATGAAATGGATCTAAAAATGGAATATCACAAAATATTTGCATATCATAATAAATCTTTTGACAAGTCGATTGATAAGATCTTATAATATCTTTTTAATCAACATTGATGAATCTCGCTATTGCACGATATATATTTTTTTAAAAAAGTCTTCGCTTGGGGCATGTGATTTTTGAAAAAAACATTAAGGGGCATATATTTATTAGTGCCATGTAGTTTATCTTCAATTTTATTATATAAATATTAGTGTTAGACAACGTTGAAACTTAAAGTACACAGAAAACTTAAAAAAAATAGGTTCAACAATCTGATTTCAATCAGGGGATTTTGATTTATTCATTAACTAAAGAAAAATGTGGACATATCGTATCTATACTATTAATTGGGAATCATTAAAACATAATAAACCCTATTTTGGTAGAATATTTACAAAAAATGCCATTGAAAATTTGAATATAAAGAAACAAAAAAAATTCACGTGGAAGAGTAAAAAAAAAAATTTCCCATTTTAAGAAACACGCGGATCTTGGATCTTCAATCGGATCTTCTAATATTACAAACGAAACAACACGCGGATCTATATTTGCTGAGTTGGATGATCCGAATAACAGTCCCTCTCAATATTAATGGGTTGGATGACATTTTAGATGGGCTTCATATTTGACAAATGGGCTTCGCCGACAATCACAACCTCACAATTAATCCCAATATTGTTTGAGATACTCTGGATATTAATGACACATAAACAAAATGGTTAGTTATCATTCAAAAAGATTTCCATAACAAACAAAATCATTCAATATCCATAACTGCATAAATTTCAACAGATTTCCATAACAAACAAATCCTCGACAATCTTTTTAGCCCAATTTATCATAATCACGATTTCCCAATTTATATCTAAACAAATTATTTATCTTAGCAAACAAATTCAATTACCAAACTCTATCAAAAACTAGATATTGAGATACGTTTAAATCGAGAATATACCCTAAAATTCGAGCATCTACCTTATACGGTTGTTGATTTAATTCTCTAAACCCTAAAATCTGCTTACCTCCCTCAACTCATATAAATAGACGCCTAATGTGAAAGTTCAGAAACACACTAACCTTTCATAAAAGCATTCTTCACTTTTTACTATTTCGTAACCATGGCTCAAAATCACGGTATCACCACCCTTGCTGATGTGAGACCTTTCAAGACGAATTGAAAGATCCAAGTGAAAATTGTCCATTCCTGGACACAGTACATGCAATTCACTGGTAAAACAACAGAAATGATCCTTGCAGATCAGGCTGTAAGTATAGATTACGTGCTTCATTATATCTTAAGATTCTTTACTAATTACAATAATAATAACTATGTTGTTATCTTCTATATAGGGTACTTTGATACATGCTACTATTTATTTTATTATATAACACATTTTTATTATGACAAATGTTGCATCTTTTAGTAAATACACTATTCTGCAGAATGTATAATTAATCAAACTGAAAATAAATGTGTGTAATATTGTTTATTCTAAAGATTGATATTTTCACTATTAATTACATAAAACAAAACAATACATTTAAATTACAACTTTATGTAAATCCTATCGATTCAAAATAACAACCCGCACGTACGTGCGGGTCCGGATCTAGTAGTACATTACATTTAACCCACCGCCTAGTTTATATATTTTAAATATATTTGTTAAAAAAATCAAATTAGAGTATTTATTTTCAACCTTTTGATCTATTAAAATTTTTGATATTCCTTAAAAATAATAAGTTAAACTATTTTTAAATGTTCTAAGTTAAAATATTTTAAAAGTTTTTGTAGTATATAAAATTATACATTTTAAAAAAAGAAACGTATGAAACTAATATCAATGTTTAAATTCTGATCGGTTACTTAGTTGGAATTTTGTTTAAAACAATATTACTGAAGTCTGAATTTTCTACCCGTTACAATTTTTCTTCATAGATTGAACAATTTATATCGTTTTTTAAAATTCAAATCATGACATATGCAGAAAAAAATGATTTTTATTTTTATTTTGATTTTGGTTTCTTGTACAGCAATTCTTGCAACAAAATTTTTTTCCCTTTTACAAATTACAAATTTACACATGGGAGCAAAAAAAATGATAAAATGAAACGGATCCAAAAAATAAAATTCACAAAATATTTTCATATCATAATCATTCTTTTGACATGTAGATTGACGATCTTATGGTATTTTTTTATTCAACATTGATAAACTAATAATGAAGGAACATAACTAATAATGTTGAATCATCCAACTGTAGAGTCTTTTTTGGGTTGAATGCTTCTCAGTTTGAGCCTCCAAGTTACCTTGGATTTGCAGGCCGTCATCGAACATCGGTTCTCGATTCTCTCCGGTTTTCCCAAGTTTTTTATCCAAAAGTTTTTGGCATAATGGTATCTCTATTTTTCCTTGGTCACAATCATCGTCTTTCGGACAGCCAGAAATCTCTCGTCCTTCTTGCAACTCCTTTTTCAGAAACTGGGTGTTTCAGCACATCAGGTGCATGTTTGGAATCTCAAAACTACACCAAACTTAAGATTTTCGTGAGGCAATGTTTTTCAGGGTGGTTGACAACTTGTCAACGGTTTGCGTACTGCTATTTCGAATGCCTTACCATCGCGGCAGAACATGTTATCATTATGGTCTTTAGATCCTCATTACTATCTCTTAGCTTATGTCATATTCTAATTTTTAGTTATGTCCGGATAGGTTATTTGGCTAAGAAAAATAAACATGTGGAAATTTTCCATGAAAGTTCATCGGTTTTTTATTGGCTCTCCCGACATTTTTTTTTAAATAAAACCTTTTTTCTGTATTTTGTTTTTGGTTTCTTGTACAACAAGAACCAATCTTTGCAACAAAAAATTCCTCTTTTTACAAATTACATATATATACGAGAGAGCAAAAAGATAATAAAATGAAACGGATCTAAAAACAGAGAATATCACAAAATCTTTGCATATCATAATCAATCTTTTGATGATCTTAATATCTTATAATACTTTTTTATACCACAATAATGAACCACATTATTATACACGATATATCTTTTTAAATCATCCCTTGCCAGTGTTTGATACCTTTACCATCTGCACGTCTTCAAAATGTAACAATGTCTTGTCCCCATATTATAAATATGTATTTCATGGGCACTAACCATTTCATCACCAGAACTTAAAAATAAACAGAATCCACAAATATTTCAAAGTTGTGACAAGAGAGGGAAGGAGAAAACTTAGAAATGAGGGCAATCACAACTTCGTTTTTCATTTTCTGTTTCCTTGTTCCCTCTATTTTGGCGCAGCTCCGACATAGGTTTTACGATGCTACATGCCCTCTCGCTGAAGAATTCGTGGCTCAAGTTGTTTCCAAACATATGGAGTTTAGCGGAAACATTACTGCAGCATTGCTTCGCATGCAGTATCAAGATTGTTTTGTCAACGTAAGCTTCTCCTTGTGGGTTTGTATATGTATGTATGATGTATCATAAACTAGCTAATAGGTAATTACACTGATCAAAAAATATGTTGAATTCTTGTGTAGGGATGTGATGCTTCCCTCTTGATCGACTCAACATCCGAAAGGCCATCAGAGAAAAGCGCGAGACAAAATGCAAACTTGAGATTTTTCGAGATCATTGATGAGATTAAGAAGGTGGTCGAGAGTGCTTGCCCAAAAACAGTCTCATGCGCAGACATTTTAGCTCTAGCCACAAGAGAATCCATTAGATACGCTGGTGTTCAAGGCTTCCAAGTACGAACAGGAAGACGCGATGGATTAAGATCAAACCCCAGTGATGTTAACTTGCCAGGACCAACATCTTCCATGCGTTTTGTAATCAATGAATTTATAGCTAAAGGTATGACTGTGGAGGACATGGTTGCACTTATTGGTGGTGGCCACAGCGTTGGTGTTGCACATTGTAGTGCTTTTCAGGATAGGCTTAAGGATCCTGCAATGGATCCCACACTAAAAGCTAAGCTAAACAAAACATGTAGCGGCCCAAATGACCCATCAGTGTACATGGACCCAAGGACTCCATCTCATGTAGACAATGGAATCTATAGCCAGATAATAAATCAAAAAGGAATCCTTAGAATTGATCAAGACATGGGTCGCAATGTAAATACCTTGGTCAGTTTGTCAATTTTTGCAACAAATGATATAATCTTCAAAGTGAAATTTGTCGAAGCAATGCAGAAAATGGGTGAAATAGGAGTTCTTACGGGAGATTCTGGAGAGATCAGGACAAACTGCAGAGTCTTCAACAGTTGAAGGTCTATTCTACATTTTATTGGAACTACTATCAAAGCTCGCATCTGCGTATTCGTCTTTTCCTTGATCATTTTTATTCATGATTTTCAATCTGAATTTTCTCAGTCTTTTCCTTGAACACATTTCTCTTTCCATTGTTCATCGTCTTTCCCTTAAGTACATTTTCCCTTCTTTTTTTTCTTTCAAATATTCAACTGAAGATTTTACCACTTGTAATCAAATAATAAAATAATAAAATAATCTGCTTGTCTTGCCTTAATAATCTACCACCAAGCAATAATAATATGATTTGTACCAAGGCTTACCCCCAAGCATAAAATCTGCTTTACGCTCCAGAATACAGTCCGTCCATCGTTACTTGAAATGTTATTTGGATGGCTGCTCACCTCACTATATCTGATCTGATTTCACCAGCTCACTGTTCCTCAAATAAAAGCTGAAATGGAAAAAACGTTGCAGTGGCTTGTTCCTGTTGCTACAAACACTACCAAGTAAGCTTCTGTGATGTTTTCTTTTTCTCTATCTTGGTTTTGTGTCATCGTTAGAACTCCGTTGTCACTTAAACCATGCATTTTTCGGCGGGTCAATGGATCACATTATCTGTCTTAATTCTCTATCAGCAAAAGCATGTAAAATCCCCTTTAGTTTTAAAAGAAATTTTCATGTTTGGTAAGAAATTGAGTTTATCTTTCACCATTTGACAAAGTTAAGTTGGACTTTCACCATTTAGCCATTTGAGCTTTTTCTGACCAAAATATCCCTAACCATAAACTATTCTAGTTCAGTTACGTTTGTACTTCTCCTTTTTTTTATCTTATTATCTGTGACAAAAAAATATTGAAAACACAGAAGAAGAAGGAGAGAAAGCAATCGAAAATCTCAACATTTTCAACTTCGAACATTTCAGTGATAATCGTTTTCTTAATATCTGAATAATCTCTCATTCAACTTCGATTGAGAGTTTTTGAGTCGAGTAGGTAGAAACAAATTTCATATTCCCGGCGACGAACAAAATACAACAAATTTCTAGAAACTCAAACACTTAAGCTTTTCAAATTTAAAATATGCTAAATTTACAAGATTTATATGTAAAGAGAATTCAAAAGGTAAAAAAAAATAAGATTCTGAGATAACTGCTAATGACGGCCGCAAAATTAGGGTTGCAGAGGAGAATACTCAGGTTGAAGATTATAGGAAAATTACATTTATACCCTTCATCGAATTTTTTCTGTGTACGTATATGTAATTTACGGTGTACGTACACAAAAATATTTAGTGGAACTTATGTATATGGTTCGATATTAAAGTGGTTGTAATAAATATCTAACCACCTTCTACGAAAAAATTAACAATTAATGATTTGAGTCCAAATTTGAGCTATTTTGTTACTTATTCATATATATCTCAATAAAATTCATGCATATATAATAATTAAATAATAATATATGGTGAAAAAATATTGTTCCTCATACTTCTGAAAAAGTTATGTACGTATACGTGTAATATTGTACGTACAGTACATCTTTGTTGGTGTGTTAAATTTGTTAAGATAAATTTATTGATACAATAATAAACCAATATTGACGATGGTGGGGGTGTATTCTACGACGCTCCTACTGGAAATGAAGCCATTGTTATTTGATTTTTTTTTGTTTCTAAAGACACTCCCAACAAACAATGTCTCTCTTGCCGTACTAATTTATATTTTTGTCTCATCAACTCGGGTATTGACTAAATCATCAAAGACTAGAACAAAATTCACACGATTACCATTCACTTTACAGCTACCATGCCAATTTGTATATGTGTACGTCAAACATTCACCGTTAGATGATTTCTCGTGTACATAGTTAGTAATGTACGTACATTTTTCTAAAAATCATGTTTTATCTCATGGTTATGACTCACAAATGGTTGAATATCACCATTCTCTCCAAAACAATCGATGTTTTTTCAGTTACGTACACGTTAATTAGTATACGTACACGTTTCTAATAATCAACTGAATTTTCATGTTAGCCCCACAGTAAGTTGAGTGTCACCAACATTCCCGACATGTCATATCCCATATTTCTCAACAACAAAATCAGTCAACTTGTTGTAATGTAATCTTCGCCACTACCTTTATTACCGTTTATAGTTGTCACCTTCATCGTCCCCTTCCTCATCCTTTCTCCTTTTCGTCGTCCTCATCCTCTTTTGGTTCGGTTCGGTTTGGTTTCAGATATTTTTGGTTCAGTTCCGGATACCCAAAATATTGGTAAAAGTTAAAATTTATTAAATTTAAATAAAATTTGCTTAATTTTTTTTTTTGACAAATATAAGTAAAAATTTTGGATATTTTTTTCTGTCTAAAATAATTGACACCTAAGAGTTTATAATTGTAATCTGGGTAATTGTGATATAAATGTCTAAATATAATTCATATGTTTGGTATACAACTATATTTCGGATACCCATTCGGTTCTCAGTTTGGTTCGGATTAGGTTTTGGTTCTTCAACTATGGTTATGGTTATTCAGGTATAAAAGTTTAATTTCGTTAAGATATTTTGTCAGTTTCGGGTTCAGTTCTTATTTTTCAAATAGGTTCGGTTTGATTCTTTAATTTTAGGTATCTTTTTTAGGTGTAGTTCGTACATGGTTTGAATGTTTTGTTTTTATGTTCAAAAAATATTTTAAACATAAATATACAAATTATTTAGATGTTTATATACATACATGCACACAAATTACTACCGTGTACATACACATGAGTACATAATATTGTTAGTTTCAAATTATCTTCAACAACACGATTAAAATTAAGAAATAAATTATTATTCAAAGTTTAAAAATATATATGAAAATGGGTCTTAAAAGATAGAAAAAATTAAATTTTAATTGAAAGTACAAAAATAATAAATATTTATAAAAATGAAAAGAGAGAAAAATGTGAAAACAAAAAAAGGTGAAAAATAATAATAATCTTATTTATTTATATATATATATATATATATATATATTTTTAACATTGTAGCTAACGAGAGTGTACTGTACATAGCGCGTGTACTGTAGCTAACGATATATAGTGTACGTAAACAAACCGCCTAACTAATTCGTCCATTGTGACTGTACACTGGTTTCACTGGAAGGGCAATTTCGTCCGAAAATGACATAATTGTCAAATCTCCAATCAGATCACCAAACCAGAAAACGATCCAACTCTCCAGCGGTTCACACAACCCAAGTCTGGGTTCTCCGTTGCTGACTACGGAGGATCAAGAGATGCTTAGAGACGTAAGCAAGCGGAGAAAGACGCCAGGAATAAGCAAGAGCCAAGAGTTTGAAACGGTGGCTAAAACACGGCTTTGTAAGCACCACAGGCTAAGCAAAAGCAGTAGCCACTCGCCGATGATGGGCGAGATGATGAAGAATAAGAAGGATACTTTCTCAACCAGAAGACCTTCTTCTGTTCCCATCATTGATTTTGACATTGATCGCATGAAAGCCCTCGATGTGATTGATCGCGTGGACACCATTCGAAGCTTGTAGTTAACTACTTCCACACCATCGGAGTTCAGATTGGGATAGATGGTAAAGAGTAAAGACCACACTCACTTATCATCAAAAGTTGATGATATGAATCGGAATGCGATTGATCCCACAGGTGCCATCGAAACCCTTTATAGGTGATGAAAAATTGGCAGAGCTTATTAGTAACTTTGTACTCTTTTTGGTTTTTGTGGGTGTAATTTGGTTTGGTTTTGTAGCATTTCCTTTGTATTGTTGTTCTTTTTCTTGTTGTAGACTAGTTGTATTGTGTACATACAAGAAACGTTACTACATATATTTGGAGAATAAAAATATATTATCTTCTCAAATGGATTAAATTCGAGTGTATACTAATAATCACCAGAGAAGCAACTGGTAATTGAGAATCATCTTGTCTTGTATTAATTAATAGCAGTAATTACCATTTGTAAAACGCCGTAATTGTATTTAACATTACAACGCATACAAACATCATCATTAGCTAATTGGCTTAGCCAGAGATCTCAATGGACTTAACTTCAGCCTTCGTATTTATGTAATCGTTAGATATAGAAACTATATTCATCCAACACATGATAATGTGTGTATCTGATATAGAATAAAATGATCAATCGAAGGTGGCATGCAGATTTAAATTATGGTTAATTAATCATCACTGATCAACATGCAACCATTCACCAAATGTCACATGCATGTATCCTCTCAAGTAGTGGCAAATTTAGAGATATATTTAGGGGGTGTATTGAAAAAAGAATTTAGAGTGATTTGAGTTTTTAATGAATTTTGACATATTTTTGTGAATTTTGGTGCATATGAAAACGAAAAATAATTTTATTTTTTTTAAAGTAATATTTTTTGAACAATGAGTTAATTTATGTTAACAACCATAAAATAGGATTTCATATATTTCAGTTAGATCAAAATTTAAATATCATAAATAAATCGCATATAAAACATAGATTATTTTGAATTAATTAAGAAAATTAGCTATTATTAATTTAGAAAATTCTTTTTCAATTTATAATTCTTTGGTTGTTGAAATAGAGATTTGTTTGAGCTAATCTAATTACAGAATTTGTTTGAGATTTATAATTACGGAATTTACTAATTATTCGCATAATCGAATATGTTATAAACATATATTTAGTATATAATAATACCAAAATTAACCCGTGCTTGGAGTCTATATTTTTATTTTAGAATCTCAATATTTGATTTTAAAATATTGCGTGCACAATCTATTATTCGTTAATTCTAAAATTGCTTGCGGAATCAAATTTTCAAATATTTAGAGGTGTCAAACCATATTTAAATGTTCTACACTATTTTTAAATATTCCAAATTAAAATCTTTAATTTTTTTTGTAGTTTATAAAATTATGAATTTCAAAAAACAAATTATATGAAATTAAATATAACTATTCAAATAGTTATAAGGATCAAAACTCATTTCATCATATAATATATTATATTTAACCCGCTACCTATTATAAATATTTTTAAAAATAATCAAATTAGAGTATTTATATTTTTTAACTTTTTGAACTATTAAGTATTGATGATATTCTCTAAAAATATCAAGTAAAACTTATTTTAAATGTTGCAAATTAAAATATTTAAATTTTTATTGTAGTATATAAAATTATACATTTCAAAAAATAAATGTATGAAATCGAATATAAATATTCAAATTCTGACCCGTTGCTCAGTCGGAATTTTGGTTGACTTTATTTTTGTGTAAAAGAAATATATTACTCAAGTCTAAATTTTTGACTCGTTTAATTGTTTCTTTTATAGATTGAACAATTTATATGCGTTTTTAAAAATTCAAATCTTGGCATATGCAGAAAAAAATTACATTTTTTTATTATGTAGATGATCTGATGATTTATTTGTTTCATATTAATATAATCATATTAAGATGAGTGGTGAAGTTTAATGATTAATAACAAATTAATATGGTAAGTTAGCTATCAAATCTTATATGTTCATTTTGATTGGTCATTTAAAAAACAAAAACAGATTTTCGTTTTATAATTTAATTAAATTAATTAAATGACATAAATTAGTATTTTACTTGTTTATCCTTAATAAATTGAATGAAATTTGTTCTAAAAGAAGATTTTTGTAATGGCATTCTTAAGTAAATTCTTACAAAAGGAAATGTTAGTTAAGGGCATCTTATAAAGTGTATTCCCCAAATAATAGTATTGGATCCATCTTCTCAAATGGATTAAATTCGAATTTAGACTAATAATCACCAGAGAAGCAACTGATAATTGAGAATCATATTGTCTTGTATTAATTGTTAGCAGTAATATAACATTTGTAAAATGCCGTAATTGTATTTAACATTACACGCACACAAACATCGTCATTAGCTAATTGGCTTAGCCAGAGATCTCAATGGACTTAACTTGAGCCTTCATATTTATGTAATCGTTAGATCTAGAAACTATATTCATCCAACACATGATAATGTGTGTATCTCATATAGAATAAAATGATCCATCGAAGGTGGCATGCAGATTTAAATTATGGTTCATTAATCATCACTGATCAACATGCAACCATTCACCAAATGTCACATGCATGTATCCTCTCAAGTAGTGGCAAATTTAGAGATATATTTAGGGGGTGTATAGAAAAAAGAATTTAGAGTGATTTGAGTTTTTAATGAGTTTTGACATATTTTGGTGAATTAGAAAATTTGTTATTAAAATTCTCTCAAATCTCACCTAAAACCATGAGATTTGGATCTTTGAATGTTAACTAAAAAATTCCCTTAAATCTCACCCAAAGTCACTCAAGTTACTTCAAATTCACTACTTAAAATATTTTCAATAACAGTGGATTTGATTGTAGATTTTAAAATCACTAATCCAATAACACTTGATTTTAATTTTTTTTTTTAGAATTCATGTTTAAGTAACATAGGATTTGTTATTTTAATACAAATAATTCCAAATCTTTTAGGGAGACTCACAAAAATGCCCCTTTTTCAATACCCCTTTTCAAAAATACCCTTTTTTAAAAACCTTATAAAAAATCCTCTTAAAAATATAAGATTTACCCAAATATGTATGTAATATTATTAAAACATACACAAACTACATTTCTATGTATCTAAAATCTTATAAATACTTTATAAATACCTTATAAATGCATTTTAAATATCTTTAAAAACCTTTAAAATATCTTGTAAAACCTTTGAAAAACCTTAAAAATCCTTTAAAATAACTTGTAAAACCTTTAAAAACACCTTATAAAACCTTATAAATACTTGGATCGAGTCTTCAAGTAGTAGTTACAATCCATAAGTACCTTATAAACCTAATAAAACTTTATAAAAATTTCAGATTTAAAAAGGGGCATTTTTGAAAATAGACATCTAAAAGGGGCATTTTTGAAAAGGGGCACACCAAAAGGGGTATTTTTAACAATTTATCAATCTTTTATTGAATACATCCCCCAAAGTCTCGAGCACCATTTATTTATGTATATTTTTTTATCAAAAATATTACATCTTTCGTTCGTTATCAAAATATAAAATTCGTAACAAAATACGTAGTTCATCAATACATAAATTTTATTTCTTACAACTTATGTAAGTGTGTATAGATAGATATATAATTTCGTAACTATTTTCACATATAAATAAATATTTTAGAAATATATTAGTACACATATAATATTTAATCAGTTAATAAAGAAATATCAAAATAATTTAAATCCGACAAGTGGAAGCCCCCTAGGCCCATTGGTTGACCAAGGGTTAATTAATGCTTATACACCAAGAGGTCTGGGGTTCGAGTCCCAGATATTGCGATTTATTAATAGATTTGCAGATTAAAAGAGGCAAGTGTGCAGGAGATCTTCAGCGAAGTACAATTATAGCCGTTCGCCAGGATTCTACGCAGAGAGAGAAGTGTCGTCAGGTCGTGGATCTTTGAAGGTGTCCGTCAAGAGCATGGAGAAGGAAGTGTCGTCTGTCGTGGATCTAATAAGGGTCGGAAGGAATTGTCCGTTGTAAAATCGTCTATGTAACCGTTCTCATAATTTGCAATAAGTAATAAATCTAGACGTCAAAAAAAAAAAATCCGACAATTAAATAAGGAAGTTGGAGCTAAGTATATGATTAAATTAGTGTTTGTGGTGGGAGAAAAAGAAAATGTCAAAAGATCAGAATGTTGCACTAACTAGACTCGAACCTAGATATAGGGCAAGAGTGAGAAACACAACTAATAATGCTGAATCATTTCAACTACATGTCTTTTTTTGGCAGAATGCTTCTCAGTCTCAGCCTCCAAGTTACCTTGGATTTGCAGGCCGTCATCGGACATTGGTTCGCTCTGGTCGTCCCGAATTTTTTATCTAAAATTTTATGGCATACTGGCATCCCTATTTTTCTTTGGGCACAACCATCTTCGTTTGGATCGCCAGAAATTTCTCTTCCTACTTGCAACTTTTTTTTTTCAGAAACTGAGAGTTTCGGCATATCAAACGTATTTTGGAATCTCGAAACTATCCGGAAACTTAAGATTTTTTTGAGACAATGTTTTTCAGGGTGGTTAACAACATGTCAACGGTTTGCCTACTATTATTTCGAGTGTCTTACCGTACCGTCGCGACATAACTTGTTATCATTATGGTCTTTATATCACCATTACTATCTTTTGGCTTATGTCGTATTCTACTTTGTGGCAATGTCCAGATAGGTTATTTAGCTAAGAAAAATGAACATGTGAAACTTATTTCTATGAAAGTTCATCGGTTTTTTATTGGCTCTTCCTGGTTTTCTTATTTCTTCTAATAAAATCTTTCGTTTTTATATTGTTTTTTGTTTCTTGTACAGCAAGAATCAATCCTTGCAAAAAAAAAATTCTTTCTTTTACATATTACAAATTTATATAAGAGAACAAAAAGATGATAAAATGAAACGGATCCGAAAAAAGAATAATATCACAAAATATTTGCATATCATCATCAATCTTTTGACAACGATCTTATAATATTTTTCTATACCACATTGATGAACAACACTATTATACACGATATATATAATTTTTTAAATCATCCCTTGCCAGTGTTTGATACCTTTACCCTCTGCACGTCTTCGAAATGTAACAATGTCTTGTCCCCATATTTACGTATAAATATACATTTCACGGGCACAACCATTTCATCACCAAAACTTAAAAATAAACACAATCCACAAATATTTCTAAGTTTTAACAAGAGATAGGGAAGGAGAAAACTTAGAAATGAGGGCAATCACAGCTTCGTTTTTCATTTTCTGTTTCCTTGTTCCCTTTGTTTTGGCGCAGCTCCGACATGGGTTTTACGACGCTAAATGCCCTCTCGCTGAACGTATCGTGACTAAAGTTGTTGTTAAACATTGGGCCCGTAACCAAACCGTCGTTACTGCAGCATTGCTTCGCATGCAGTTTCATGATTGTTTTGTCAATGTAAGGTTCTCCTTGTTTATGTGTATATGTATGTATGATGTATCATAAACTAGCTAATAGCTAATTATATTGATGAAGCAATATTTTGAATGCTTGTGTAGGGTTGTGATGCTTCCCTCTTGATCGACTCAACATCCGAAAGGCCATCAGAGAAAAGCGCGGGACCAAATGCAAGCGTGAGAGGCTTCGAGATCATTGATGAGATTAAGAAAGAGCTCGAGATTGTTTGCCCAAAGACAGTCTCATGCGCAGACATTATAACTCTAGCCACAAGAGACTCCATTGCATTAGCTGATGATAGTCGTGCTTCACGCTTCACAGTACGATTAGGAAGACGTGATGGATTAAGATCAAACCCCAGTGATGTTAACTTGCCAGGACCAACAATTTCCGTGGATGAATCATTGAAAGCATTTAAAGCTAAAGGTATGACTCAGATGGACATGGTTGCACTTATTGGTGGTGGCCACAGCATTGGTGTTGCACATTGCAGTCTTATTCAGGATAGGCTTAAGGATCCTGCAATGAATCCCAGACTGAAAGCTAAGTTAATAAAAACATGTAGTGGCCCAAATGACCCATCAGTGTTCTTGGACCAAAAGACTCCATTTAAATTAGACTCTGTAATCTATACCCAAATTGAAAGTCAAAGAGGAATCCTTAGAATTGATCAAAACTTGGGTCTCAATGGATCAACGACCAGGTGGATTGTGTCAAGTTTTGCATCAAGTGAAAGATTCTTCAGAGAGAAATTTGTCGAAGCAATGCAGAAAATGGGTGAAATAGGAGTTCTTACGGGAGATTCTGGAGAGATCAGGACAAACTGCAGAGTCTTCAACAATTGAAGATCTATCAAATCTCGCATCTGTCTTTCCAATGTTCATTTTCTTTTTCTACTTTCAAATAATCAACGGAAAATTTCTGATATCATTTTATTCCTTTTTGTACATTGACCAGTGTGTTGCATTTTGAACTTTGTGTTATTTTATCTAATTCTCTTCTTATTCTATTGTGTGTATTTTTTACGTAGAATTGTTTGTTGCTTTTTATAATGTAATTCCTGATTGTGATGATTTTTTTTTTTTTTAGTAATATGGTCTAATGATTAACTCATAAGATTAGATAATGTACATATGTGATGCAACCGAATTTTAAACTCTGAATGACTAATCGGTAGGATAAAATATATCAAATTTTTAGAGACCAACACAGTTACACAATAGATATATGAGATTAAGGCTATAATTGGTGACCAATTTTTAGGATAAGTAATGTTTTACTTTTATTACTCAAAATGTTTACCATTTAGAAAAACGTTTATTCAAAGTAATAATATTCATCAACATTACCTAACGTTCATTTGTCATGTATCTTGATGGGTTCTTAATATTAACTCTTATGATTTGATTTAATATTACTTTTGAAAATTTTATAGTTAAGAGGTTGTGTTAGGGTTTTTTAATTTTGTCATTGTCCAATGGTAGACTCTAAAGTGGTGTTCTTAAGAATTAAATTTTTGATTATTATATTAGCTTAAATATATGAAATTGGTTTATGAAAAAAGATCAAGTATAAGAAATTTGTGTTTAAGTTAAAGAGATATGAATATAATTCATTTGGTTACAACACATATGAAGTGGCGGATCTAGAATAAGTTTCTAATGGGGTCATTATATTGTATGAATAGAAGAAGAGAGAATTGAAGCTATGTTAATGGGGTCAATTCAAGAAATTTTAACCATTTTCTCTAATTTTTTCTTAATTTTTAATAATAAATCTTTTAAAATATAAAAGTTATTGGGGTCAGTTGACCCCACTCCCACCAACGTAGCTCCGCCACTGCATATGATTCATTTGGTGTTTAAGCTAAAGAGACATGAATATGTTCATTTGAGTAAAATAAAAACAGAGTAAAACAAAGTTAAAGAGACATGAATACATAAACAACATAAAAGCATCATTAGTCACACTTAATTACTCCATTGAAATCAAACAAACATTATTGATTAGCACTCATTTAGTAGGTTAATTACTTATGGCTAAGAGTAATAAGCACAACACTGACTTAGAACTTAGAATCATATATAGACAAAAACATATAGAGATTGTTGGTCACTTGTCTTTGTGCTTCCCGCTCTTGTCGCTTCTTCTCTTTCTTCTTTGATGCTCAGGATTGGGATCCACCAGCTTCATCTTCTTTTTTTTTTTTAATAAAATGTTAAATTATATTCAAGAAAAAAAAATATACGGTTTACATCAGCTTTCTTTTGATATTATGGAGAACATAGCTTAAAAAGAAACAGAGAACAGAGCTTTTATTTAAAAACAGAGCATTTGAAAGTGGATGATAGATTTCTGTGGGTTTATTAGGCTTGAGAGGCAAACCAGGCTTGAAGAGCTGGGTCATAGCGCTTGTCACCAATTGAGCGGATAATCGATAGTTGGTTGCGAACATGCTTATCGATCCAACTTATGAGAGTGATTGCCGGACGTGGTACTTCTCCATGTCGTCGTGCGTTCCTCTCTCTCCAAATCGTGTGAACCGTGATTTGAAATGTGTTCCTCACCAAAAAACTGTGAACCCGATCATGATTGGTAGCCGAGATATAATCCACAATCTGTTGCCAATCCTCCGTGAACTGATTATTGAGAATGTTTTGAGCAAGAGTCTTCCATATATCATAGCTGTATGGACAAGAAAAAAAGAGATGGTTTCGAGTTTCTATGGCCGCAGCACAGAAAACGCAGGAAACAGTGGAGCCATATTGTTCCAACGCTGCATACGGTCCCCCGTAGAAAGGCGGTCTTGCAAGGCTAACCATGTGCAAAAGGAGAATTTTGGGGTAGCATACGGGAACCAAACCCCTTTCTCCCATGCCACTTGAGTTAAACTTGTCCTTATATGATTCCAAGTGTCTTTTGTTGAGAAGCTACCTTTGAAAACATCACCTTTCCCTCGCCATAAAACCATGTCATCCCTTGCATTTCGAACTTGATACGACTTCGCGAGTGCCTCCTCTACATCATTTAGAACCTGTGTTCGGTGGCGTCTCCTGCGACGTTGCCCCCACGCCTCCGCCACCGTCATATACTTGCCAACGCCCATGTCTATTACACCGCTCGGGCCAGTTTTCTCAATCAATGATCCCTCACCCGTCCAGTTATCAAACCAAAAAGATGTGTTTGCTCCATTATATTCTGAACCTCTACTTTGCAGAAGTCTTCGCAAGATCTCTATATTTCACCAACTTCTTCTACATCCAAGATCCCAGACTAGAAGTTTTCTTAAATGACCAGAACGATTCCTTTTTAAGTAGCATCATCTTTGACCAACGAACCCACAAAGAATCACTGTTGGATATTAATCTCCATATTAACTTTAAACAACATACATCATTTGCTTCTTTTAAAGTTCTTAACCCAAGTCCTCCTTCCTTCTTTGGTTTACATCACCAGCTTCATCTTCATCTTCACTCCCACTGATGTTTTATATGCTTCACATATACCCAAAGAATTATTCTAAGGCCAATAATCACTTAACTCCAAGACCTTTCTAATCTTAAACTACATTCACAGCAAGATACATGACAAATGAAACAAAAAAAGTTATGGACTATTCTTGAATAAATGGTTTCGAGTTTAGACCTGCAGCTTCTGATGTAACTAAAAACGCACATTTTTTTATATAGAATCTGACATAAAACAAGGAAAAAGAGAAACATAAGTTGTCAAACACAAATCTTGAACATTGGATGTAGAGGAGCTAGGTCCAGAAGCTGCAGGTCTCCGACGCATCCTACGTCCACCAGTAGTACGTGCCACATTTTCACGAGGCTGAACCTTAGAATTTCAGACGAACAACCCATCAAGCCCCAAAAATCAAAACAAAAAACGAGAGATATTACCAAAATTCTTAAAAGGAATTTTGATGCAATCCTTAAAAGGAATATAAAAGGAGATCTGTTTTTGTTTCTACCTCGGGATGAAAGAAGAACCGTACAGGAACAAATCAACAAAAAAAGACAATGGAAACATTTAGGTTTCGGATCTTGAGAATTTACTTTACGAGTTTTTACTAATATCTTAACAAAATCCAAAATATCATTTCAATTGGATTTTGAGAATTTTCTCTACGAATTTTTTTTTTCAATTTCCATTTGTTTTTATTTTATTTTATTTTTACACAATCCAAAAACCACTCAAATCTATAATCTTAAAAACCTCCTAAAATCTTCCAAACATTTATGGCCTAGGTTTTCTTTTATTTCCATATATATCTTGTTTTTCCTTTTTACAAAATTCTTAGTAATAGACTATAGATTATTATTATTGTAATTTCAAAAAAGTTAATATAGATTTCCTTTTTTTTTTTGGTGATAAAACAGTTTCCTTCTCTATTTAGGAATTATATTAATATTGAAAAACGTTTCATTCCATTCTAGCGAATTTCTTTATTATCTCCCAAACGGTATATAAAGAGAGCACCAAAACGAAATCAAAAGCTTGTTGAACACGCTTAAGCATCAAAACTAGACCAAGAGCTTGTCGAACAAACAAACATGAACTCTGTTTCTCTGCCTAGTGACGTTGTTATGGAGATAATGTCCCGAGTTCCAGGCAAATCCCTAGCCCGATTTCGGTTAGTCTCAAAGCAATTTAGGTCTCTCCTCTCTGATCCTTGTTTCCTCCGCCTCCACCACAGCCGTTCACGTGATTCCCTTTTTACTCTCAAGGCACTCAGTAATGAGCTGAGCAACCTCTATAAACTAAGATACAAATTCTCTGTGACCAACAAGGCCAATGGCCTCATCCACAAGTTCACGGAAGATTTTAGTACACATAGAAGGCCAAAGGCCAATGGCCTCCCCATCCGCGAGTTCACGGAAGATTATAGAACACATAAAAGTTCAATCAGAATGTTAAGTTCCTACCACCAGCTCTTATGCTTCGTTTGTGAAGGTGGGATCCATCTTTGTGACCCCTTGAACAAGGAATTGAAGAATTTACCTAACCCTACCTTTTCTCGGTGCTGTAATTTCAATAAACCTGGCGATTGTCTCGTCTCCTTTGGATTTGTTGACGCCACGATGCAGTACAAAGTCATCAAATGGCCTCATGACTTAGATGAAAACCGTACAAGAAGGTTGCCAAGTGGCCTCATCACAGTTTGGAAGAAAGTCAATGAACTTAAGTTTGAGGTCTTGAATATCGATATTGTTGAAGATGGCCGTCTTAAAGTATCCCCTTGGAGATTGCGGCATAGACTATGTCCCTATCTCTTACAACTCTCTTCTCAGGTTCACGTGAATGGATATATCTATTGGACCACTAGTGATTTTCAGATCGTGTCTTTCTCTCTACAAGACGAGACTTTTTCAGCTATAAGCCCTAAACCCCCTTGCTTCTTCCTTGACACCCAAGGATCCAAAAAGTCTAGCTCTTTCACGTTATCCGGAAGCCGCGGAAACTTATGGATGGTAGATTACGATGTCTCGTCTCAAATCATGGAGATTTGGAAGATGGAGGATAGACGAGGTGGCTGGGCCAACATTCATAAGATCAACCTCAAAGGAACCCATCCAAAGAAAATTGATTGCAAAGTGAAGATGCTAGATATTCGGTCAGACGAAGTTTTGTTCAAGCTATCATCGACGTCGAAAAGACTATTGATATGCTATGACGCCAAGACGAACACCCTTGAGAAGTGCGGGAGAGAGTTTGGAGACTATGAGCTATGTCACTCCACCGATGGACTCTTGTCTATAGACAACCTTGCTATGTTTCATGCTTGTCGACCCCTCTCTTGCTTTTTATCTTGGTAAAGGTCAAGACAATTCCCTTGGGGTTAAATTCTTATCTTTTGAGAATTTCGTGTTATCTCTTTAGATAAGGCCTTCTTTGTGTCTATGTGCGTCTGCTATAATTTGATTGTTGTTTTATATTATTCAAAGCTTCAAGCTTCTTGTTGATGTGGGTTGTTGTTATTGTGTGATAATACCCTATTTTAACTATCTATGTATTTGGCAGTTGATATTTTCTAAATTAGTTTACTTTCAAAAAATAAATAATTTATTACGTATACATGTGGAAAAATCACGAGATGTATTTACAAAACATCTGTGGTAAACATATTCCAAAAAATCTATCAACCAAATAAGTCTGCCCAAAAAAATATATCAAGGACAAATAAGTCTCCAATATATAAATTAATCTGTCACAACTAGATAGCATACTTTTGTAAATTTGCTGGAATTAATTTTGAAAGGCAATTTTGTATTTTTTTTTTACATATGAGACAAAAGTATTTTAGATTTGAAAATAAGCCAATTAACCCAAAATATTTTTGAGACAATCTAGTAGTAATTAAACTCATAATTTAAATTTAATCTAATAACTTTCCGGTAAATATAACATCTTTCAAAACTAGTTGGCTTCAAGGCTTGAATTGAATGTTGATGTACTTATTATACAAGTACTTTTTAATCGTTTAAAGAAGGAACAAATTCTCAGGGGCTCCTCAAGCTCCAAATTTAGTCTCAAATACTCCTCAATGGTAGAAAGACAAAATTACCCTTAATGAGGGTTGATTTCGGGTGATAAGGGTTAAATACAATTAAATCGGTAAATGTTCAACGAAAAACACAATAGCTCAGTGGTTGCGAGCTCCATGCGCACGCGCGCGCCCCCAGGGTTCGAATCTTTTTATACGGGTTGTAACTGGTACAACTAGGGAATATTCGGGAATATTCTGGTACAACTAGGAGGTACAACTAGGTGGTACAACTAGGAGGAGGTACAACTAGAGAGGAGGTACAACTAGGATAGGTATACGTGGTAGTACAACTAGGAGGTACAGTACAACTAGGAGGAGGTACAACTAGAGAGGAGGTACAACTAGGGTACCACCTATACCTAGTAAAGGGGTAGTTTCGTCCTTTCATTAAAAGGAGGAGAGTATGTGGATTAGAGGAGAGTATGTAGATTAATTCTTTGACTCTGAGGAGCAATTGAGATTAGTCAGAACAAAAACACAAAGAGGTTTAACACGTAAACGGATACGAAACGGAACGGAACAAGAATTATGCCCACTCTAAAGGAACACGAAAGCATTGGCGTGTAAATTATTTTAAACAAAGAATTTCAAAAATTGAATAAAATAATAATAAAACATTTAATTCCGTCAAAAAAATCTTCACCCGCCACTGAACCATGAAGATCCTTCTCTAATTCTTATCGCCGGATCTGCAAAAAAACCACACATCAATCAATGGAACAAGATCCGATTCTATCTCCATCTCCATACGATCTTCTCTTCCAAGCTCTATCACTAATCCCAATTCGTCACTACCTCATCGCTCTCTTCCTTCTCTGGACCATCTTCTTCTACAATTTCCTCGAATTTCACTTCATTGGGGACACGATTCTTCGATACTTCAGATGTCGCGTCAATCTCATTTATAATCCAGATTCTCCTCTTTATCACGGTGTTGTTTCACGGTGTCGGATACTTCACGGCCGGTGAGTGTGTACTTAAGTTTGATTTTGGGTGAAAAATTGTGAATTCGATTTCTGATTTTTCGAATTTTTTCAGATATGTGGCGACGCCATGGTTAGCGAGTCCTCATATTCAGACTTGTTTCTTGAATTTTCATGGATTGCCTCCAGTTTTCAGCTATAGAAGGTGATTTGGCTTTTTTTTTTTTGAGTCACAAATTGTAAATCATTCATTGTTTGATAAGATTCTTGCATTGTTTCAGGCAGCTATTTCTTGCTTCTGATGGTGGAACGATTGCATTGGATTGGGTTACGAATTCTGATGGTATAAGATTTAGTGGCTGAAAACGTTGATTTTGTTAATCATTTGTTTTGTGTTTTTGGATCTTTGAATTTGTGTTTGATTTGTGTAGTTCTTGATGGTGGTTTTCAAAATCAGAGTGAGATTACAAAAGAAGATACAACGCCTATTGCAGTTGTTATTCCAGGGTTAACTAGTGATTCTTCATCTGCAGTAAGTCTAGTTTTAAATCTCTTATCTGGTTCAGGACTGTTCTTTAATGTCTAATTGACTTGTATTGGTGATTTTGTAGTATTTAAAGCATCTTGCTTACAACACTGCAAAAACAGGTTGGAATGTTGTTATTAGCAACCATAGAGGATTGGGTGGTGTTTCTGTTACTGTGAGTTTCATAGAGGATTCTGTTTTTCATGTTCTACGCGTTGTGCTTACTTATATACATATTTTTCTATAATCTTGTAATGTTGCAAACGGATGTAGTCAGATCGCTTTTATAATGCTGGATGGACAGAGGATATACGGGTGGTTCTTGGTTATCTTCAACAAAAGTACCCGAGAGCTCCTCTCTTTGCTATTGGAACTAGCATTGGAGCAAATGTTCTGGTACTAAATCAAGAACCTCAGTATTTTACTTAGTTTTTGAATGATGTTTAAGTGTGAAGATTTTCTTGTTTTTCATGGACCTTCTGTTGCATATTGCTCAGTTGGCTGTACCATATGCTACATTCATAAAAAAAGATTTCAGGCTAAAAGAGTAGATTGACTATATATGTTTTTCAAATACCATTGATATGCGTGAGGAAGTTCCTGAATCTATCTAATGCTTCAGGTCAAATACCTTGGGGAAGAGGGTGAAAGGACTCCTCTGAGGGGTGCTGTAGCTATTTGCTCTCCATGGGACCTCTTGGTGAGCTATTTTTTAATAACTGTCTTCTTCTATTGATTCGTGTCTTAAGTTCTCTTGATGAGAAATTAAGACTTCTTTTATTTTCTTCATTGGGTTCCAATTCCAGACCTTTGAACTTGTAAGTAGTACTAAGGGTTTCGTTTGATACAAGTTGATGCTTGATACATTATGTTTTTCCTTTCCTTTGTCTCCTCCCAACAAGATTGGTGACAGGTTTATTTGTCGGACGTTGAAACAAAAGCTCTACGACAAAGCTCTCACCATCGGACTCCAAGGTTATGCCCAATTGTATGTCCACCACTTTGGTCAAGAACTGCCTAGATTTTGAGTTTGTAAGATGGGCTGAGAGGAGATATTTCCGATTTACTACTTTGAGAAGATCAGGTTTCAGTTATAACTTTTAGTGTCATTGCAGGCATGAACCTCAGTTTTTACGGCTTGCTAATTGGGAAGGCATCAAAAAGGTTAGTTGGTTTACCACAGACCCATTAGTTATACAGTCTACTTGGTAGATGCATTGAAACAATCAGATTTGTTGAGCAAGTAACTTACATATTTCTTTTGCTATCAACGTTGTCTGTTGATGCCCGACTTTATTACTTCATCAGTCACGTTCCATCCGCGATTTTGACAACCATGCTACCTGTCTAGTTGGAAAATTCGAGGTATTAGTTCTCCTCCGTGTTATCTTAACTTCTGATGTTAGTTTTCCCCAAGAATTCGCTTTGTAATTGATATATTCATCTTTGCAATGCTCTTCATAATCACCATTAAGTTCTTTGTTGATTTGATAAAGTGACAATGGGTTGCACCTTTATGCAGACTGTGGATACGTATTACCGAAAATCGAGCAGTACTCAATATGTAGGAAATGTGGCAGTGCCGCTACTCTGTATAAGTGCTTTAGATGATCCATTATGCACAAAGGAAGCTATTCCCTGGGACGAATGCAGGTAAGACGCTATGATCTATCTTTTTTAAAATCTTAAATCATGTTACAGCGATTAACATGAAGTTTCTATTGAAAGGGCAAACAAAAACATTGTCTTGGCTACAACAAATCACGGGGGACATCTAGCGTTCTTCGAAGGATTAACTGGATCTAGCTTATGGTTGGTATATCTTAGATTCTAACTAAGTAATAATAGTACTTCCTGTTTTAACTGCCTATATATGTTGTGTACAGGTGGGTTCGAGCCACCAACGAGTTTCTTGGCGCCCTTAGCTGCAGTCGTTATATGCATATACAGAAAGTAAGTTTCCGTTTGTTAGGATTGCAATTTAGATTATTCAACTGTTCTCTCTATTGCTTTTTTCCGAGATTATCAAATCTTTGCAGATTGAAGATAAAAGAAGCTTAGGATCAGGGAAACAAGAGCCTTCGATAAACCAAGGCCCGTACTTAAACATTGCAGAAGACGGGTTGGTGGCAGCAGTCAAGTACGAGCAAGACACCAATAAGACCATATCGAAGCAGAGAAGACCAAAGCCTGAGGAAGATGTAACAAAGAGAAGCTTTAAGGAGCTGTGTAGGCAGACAAACCGGTCGGTATGGTGGCTTGCTTACATAGGCGTGGTTACAAGTTTTCCTTTACTTGGGATGCTCCTAAACTACATCTTCCGTAAGAAGCAACGACCCACAACAACATCCAAATCCTAAAGTTGCTTGTCTTCTGACTCTTCTCTCATATTTTTTCAATTATCGATATTTGATATGTTAACAGGGCCGGTGCGGTATACCTAAATGCCCTACGCCACTAAAAGAAATCATGCCCTTTGTAAAAAAATTTTTTTCCTCGCATCACAAATAAAATTAAAATAAAACTCATACTAAACTAAAAAAAACAGTAATTAATTTCATAAGTTGTAAGGAAAAAAAATCTATTCTCTAAATATAGCTCTATTTAGACTTTTACCAGCAAAATCATTCATCAAACTCACGTAGTCGAGCTTTTCAACCATAGATGTCTCAATGGATAGTAATGCCAACTAGTAATGCCAACCCATTTAATCTTTGTAAACGTTTAGGGTTTTATTTTATTTTAAGCCAAAAAATTCCAAAAAAAATTCATTAACAACATATAAATTAACATTTTATTAATTTAAAGGCATAAAGTCCATAAAATATAGTGAAAGGAAAGTCCAACAAATTTATTTCTCAAAAAAGCCTATAATTTTTTTTTAACATATAAGACCCTAAAAAAAAATTCTAAAATATATGCCTCCTTTAATTTGATTCCCTAAACCATCGCTTCACTTGATTGTGTCATGCGCGCCTGAATGTTAATAATCCTTTAACTATATATATCATAATAACAGTAATTATGTACTAGTGCACATGGATTCTTGTATTCGTTAGTGTTGGTGGGATCATCAAGTGATTTGTTGTTACTTAGCATTGTAAATTAGAGGGAGATATAGACTCCATTAAATTTTTCTCTCAAATCAGTCTTTTTCATTCTCTTTCTTTAAAAACTGATATTTTTAATCGAAAATCAAATTATTTGGTTTAAGGAAAATGTTTCTCTGAATTACACAGAAAAATTATGATTGGTGAAAAAGACTATCAACATGATCATAAATTCATAATATTCACCGTTACATTTCTGCAATGGCATAATCGTAAAAAGACGTGAAACCCAAGGGTATTATGGGAAGACGGTGATTTGTTTTTTCTTTTTCCTTTATTCTGGCAACTTCGAGAGCATTAAGCAGAAGAAACTTGTGAAAAACTTGGCGAGAGGCGTGAGAAAAAGTTGAGAATTGGAATCGAAGAAGGGATAGGGTTTTGGTTACTTGAAGAGTGTGAGTATTTTAGTTACCACCGTCGTTTGCGATTTCAAACTTTTTTTGGTTATACCGGTGAATTTGAGTAGACAATGGAAGAAATAAGATCGGCGATGGAGAAGCAAATGGATCTCGTAGCGGATCTGGTTGAGAAACTCTCCGGAGAGCTCCGAACGGGGTTCCAACCTGCTTACGATAATTTTCTTGGGTTTTTCCACGCCATTGATTGGAAGGTAATGAGAGAATCTGTTCGTATTACATCAATTGGTCTTGAGGAATTTCGAATAGAATCACAAGTCTTGAATTCATTTGATTATGTGACGATTTGGGGTTTTTGGTTTACTCATTGTTTAGCTTTTGATTTTGTTTTGTAGGAACCTTGGATTATGGGTTTAATGGCGTTTCATGCTTTGTTGCTACTGGTGACTCTTCTTTCTAGAAGGCATCTCAACTTTCATATGTTTCTCTTCTTATTGGCTTGTAAGTGTTCCCTTTTAAAACTGTTGAAGAACTCTTTGTCTTCTCTGTAGTAACACTTTTTAGTCAAATATTGCACAACAAGTCTCTCTGACTTTGGATCTTATTCATCTGAAGGGTTTGAGAAGCTATTTCTGACATGTCTGCTTTGCAGCTCTAAATTTGATTTTACTTCACTCCAGCTTATGATTGAATGCACTAGGCATTGTTTTTGTTTGTTTGTTGAGTACAATAGAATTATCGGGTCATCTAAGGATCCATGGCTAGAGAGTCACACCATTCATATGGAGAAATGATTTGCATGGGTTTTATGAGTTAGTATGCTAGAGAACTTTCGGATACAATTGTTGTTTGAAAGGAAAACTGAAAACATGAAATTCATTTGGCTACACCACATCTGTTTTCTGACGTGAGTTGGTCACTGCATCTATTCGAGTATATTTTTGCTTAGTATACGTTATTGAGACTGATGATGTGACAAAATTTTTGTAGTGGCTGGGGTATACTTTGCAGAGAATCTCAACCGGGAGTTGAGAAAAAACTGGAAGAGCTTCTCAACTCAAAACTACTTTGACTCGCAAGGAGTCTTCCTATCGGTTCTCTGGTCTGGACCACTTTTGGTCATTGCAATGATAATCCTGGTACGTGTTCAGCAATGCCCCTCCCTCTTTCCCTTCTGCTCATAATATAAAAGAATCTACTGGTTTCATGTGACAGATTTTGTTAGCAGTGAATAAATTGTTCTCAAGTACATCCTCGACTTAGATTGTTTGGAAAACACAAAAGATGTATTAAAACATACTCTGGTTGAACAGACCATAGTCCTGTTTTTATATCCAGAAATAAATGGTGAACCTTAGGAAAGAGAAGTTGAAATCAGTAGTTTGCTAGCATGAATTAGACCCATGTCTGAGAAATCGAGTGTTTGTTTCATGTTTGAGTTAAGAACAATGGCATGTGGTGGTTTTAAGCATGTTTATAATCCTAAAGTGAAATCAAACTGATAATCAGTCCATCACTTGGTTAGGATCTAAACGAATTATGTATAATGAATGTGGAAAATCTGATGGAGGTTTTGTGTTTCTGACAGATAAACACACTGTTTTCGCTTTGCTACCTAATCGTAAAGTGGAAAAGAGCTGAGCTCAGGCATCGCGCAAGGCTTGCTCGTACCAAGGAGGAATAGATCCCACTTTTTTTTTTATCTCACATTTATGTATACTCTCACTTGGCAAAACAAACTGTCTTGAGTTTTTAGTATAAGCTGCTCTTCTATGTATTTCTTTTTCAATTTAATTGAATTGTATCAAACCGAACCAAACCAAGATTACTCTATTTCGGTTTGTTATGGTAAAGTTTTTGGAACCCCGAATCGAAATCGAAACTATGGTTGGTTGGAGAATCCTAACCGTGGTTTTAAATTATTTGGCATCAATTTCTAGGCATGAAAAAAATTGTAGAAAAGCAAATAAATAATTGATGACCATTTAAATAAAGCTAGATGTTTAAAAATAAAAAATAATTGATGACCATTAATTACCAAAAATGAAATGAAAATTCAAAAAAAAAAAAAAAAAAAAAAAAAAAAAAAAAAAAAAAAAAAAGAAATGAAAATTCATGTGTTTACCCAAATTAAATTTGAATTAATAAAGGATTAATAAATTTGAAATTGTCTTAAAGAGATGACACAATTAGCCGTTACGAGTAAATAGAGAGAGAGCAGAGAGATAGTTCTCTCGTCGGATTCAACAACGGACTCTTTTTTCAAAATCAGAAAGAGATAGAGAGAGAAACACTCTAGAATCTGGCTCTCTAAATCTTCTTCTTCATCTGCTTCGTTTCGATTTTTCGAAAATCTCTCACTTGTACGATCTTAAGACGTAGCCATGGAGGAGGAGCAACGAGTTCCGGAGAAGACGATCCCCGTGTTCACCGTTCTGAAAAACGGCGCGATTCTCAAGAATATCTTCGTTGTGAACAGTCGCGATTTCTCGTCGCCGGAGAGAATCGGTTCCACTGTAAGCGATGATGACGACGAAGTAGAGGAGATTCTCGTCGTCGGTCGTCATCCAGATTGTGATATTCTTCTTACGCACCCTAGCATTAGCAGATTCCATTTAGAAATCCGTTCGATCTCTTCTCGTCAGAAACTCTCCGTCACGGATCTATCCTCAGGTATAAATCGTCTTCGAATTCTAACGAAATTTTTGTTATCTGCAATTAGAATGTTAGTACTGTGAAATTGGATCTCGATTCTATGCGTTTTTTGGTTGTTGATTGGATTTGTTTTTCGATTTAGTGCATGGGACTTGGGTTAGGGATCTGAGAGTAGAGCCACATACTTGTATGGAGGTTGAAGAAGGTGATACGATTAGGATTGGTGGTTCAACAAGGATCTATAGGCTTCACTGGATTCCTTTGAGCCGTGCGTATGATATTGACAATCCCTTTGTTTCACCACTTGATGCGTCTACGGTGATGGAGCAAGAAGAAGAGAATAGAATGATTGAAGCAGAGAATCTAGAGGTACCACAACATCAGGTTTGATTGTCTCTCATGAGTTTCACTGTAATGAACCTTTGTTGTTAGTTTAGCTGTCCTTATTTTGGTTTAGTTTCTATACTTATCTGATGTTATTTGCTTAGCCTGATAGTGTAATCTGCCTTCACTGCAGTCACTAGAGAATACTGCATCAGGTGATGATGGGGATATACATCTGGATGTGACTTCAGAAGGAACTGGATCATCAGTCCTTAGTGAGAATGAGGATGAGGATACGTATGTTACGACAAGGGAGATGTCGTTGCCACTTGCGTCTCCAAGTGTTTTGACTCTAGCTGGAGATTCTGTCAAGACACAAAAGATGCAATTCGATGAAGATTTGCAGACTTCGGCAAAGTTGGACTTAGCTGTTATAGAAGCTGTAGAAGGGAAGCTAAGTAGCAGCTGTGGCTCAAGTAAGCAGCAGAGTGGTGGCTACGTGGAGGGATTAGGTTGTTCTGAACTTTTTGTTGCTGCAGGGGCCCATGAATGCGATGTCAGAGGAGATGGAAGTTTGCATCTGAATGTGATATCAGAGAGGATGGAACCATCAGTGCCTAATATGACTGAAGCAGAAAATCTAGAGGTTGCACATCAGGTTTGAGCTTCGCTCATATGTTTCTGGCTTTTAGTGTTTGAGACATTGTTTTAATTCCCTCGCTGCAGTGAACCGTTTTTGTTAGTTTACTTGTCCATACTTTATTTATCTGATGTTATTTGCTTAGCCTGAAAGTCTTAACTGATTTCACTGCAGTCACTAGCGAATACTGCATTAGGTGATGATGGAGATCTACGTCTGGATGTGACGTCAGAAGGACCTGTATCATCAGTCCTTAGTGAAGATGAGGATATATATATTACGACAAGGGAGATTTCGGTTCCACTTGCATCTCCAAATGTTTTGACACTGGTTAGAAATTCTGTCAAGATGCAAAAGCTACAATTCAATGAAGATTTGCAGCCATCAACAATGTGGGACTTAGATGTTGTAGAAGCTGCAGCAGAGAAGCCAAGTAGCAGCTGTGTCCTAGGTAAGCAGCAGAGTGGTGGCTACGTGGAAGGATTAGGTTATTCTGAACGTTTTGTAGCTGCAGAGGCTGATGAATGTGATTTCAGAGTCAGAGGAGATGGAGGTTTTCATCTGAATGTGATGTCAGAGAGGATAGAATCATCAGTGTCTAATGAGGAGGAGGATCCCTTTCTAGCGGAAAAGGAGACTACATCGCTTCCACTCTCAACAGATTCCATTAATCCAGAAACACTATGGCTCACGGAAGATGTTCAGGCTTCACCAGAGTTTTCCACAAGTATTTTAGAAGCAAACGCCGAAAATCTTAGTGGCGGCTGCTCCCCAAGTAAGGAGCAGATTGATGGCTGCTTTGAAGCCTCAGGTTGTTCTGCATGTGAGTTGGCTGCAGAGGTTGAGATTCTGAGCCTTCATCGAGAAGTCAGTGAAGAAACTGAGTTTGTCACAAAGGAAGTAATGGGAGTATCTGCTGAACCACTAGCTAAAGCTGATATTCTGAGTCAAGAAGAAAATGGAGAAACTAAGGGCTCAAGACAAGTTATTGAAGTATCCCCCAATTCATTCTCTCAAGCTGAGCCAACTTTAGAAACTTTAACTGGAAAAGCCCAAGGCCTAGTAGGTTCTGAATTCCTGAGTGGAGTTGCAGTAGAGACTGAAAGTGAGAACCTACTACATCAAAAGAGCATTGGAGAAACAAAGGCTAAAATTCGGAGTCACGGTGACTATAAAGAAACTGAGTGCTCATGTCCAGTTATTGCAGTATCTCCCAGTTCCGTCTCTCAACCTGAGCCAACTTTGGAAATTTTAACTGATGAAGCTCGATGCCTCCTAGGTTCTGAATTCCTAAGTGAAGTGGCAGTAGAGACTGAAATTGAGAACCTACTACATCAAAAAAGCAACGGAGAAACAAAGGCTGATATTCAGAGTCACGAAGACTATGGAGAAATTGATATCTCAAGGCATGTTATTACAGTATCTCCCAATTCCTTCTCTCAAGCTGAACAAACTTTAGAAACTGAGGTTTCAAGGCAGGAAGCCCGAGGCCTCGTAGGTTCTGATTTTGGATTCCAGAGTGAAGTTGCCATCAAGACGGAATATGAGAACTTACTAAATCAAAAAAGCAATGGAGAAACCAAAGTTAGTTCAAGGCAAGCCAGTGCACTAGCTGATTGTTTGTCCACTGGAAAAGATCGTCTTTCAAGTATCAGTACAGAAGATATCCAAAGTCTATGCTCGAGTTGGCAGCCGCTTTCCGAGAGTGTAGCCGGGGCACCATCTGAGATCAGGAGTGATGTGACTCCTGCAAGAGACCAGAATCAAAAATCAGGAATGACCAGTGAGCCTGAAAAGATATTTGATGATGGGAGCAGCTCGTGCCTTTCTGAGGACCTTAAACAGAGAGATACACAAAGTTTCTTGTCAACACCAAATCAGAAACTCAATGCAGAATTGTTAATTGGCTCTGGGAGATCTGAAAAATATTACAGCCTAAGCGAAATAGAGGGCGAAGAAAATACTGACATTGGAAGACTGTCTAGGTGTCCAATTCCTTCGGCCTTGGCTGCAGAATCATTTGAGGATACGAAACCGATTGAAGAACTGTCTTCTGATGATACTGGAAGTCAAAAAAACCAGACCCCGCAAACACATGCTGTTAAAGATGATGTACTGTCTGAGATGGATAGCTCAAGCACATGCAACATTTGGTCTAGGAGGGGAAAACCTGCTTCTGTTCTTCAGATAAGGACCAACAAGAGTCAAGGAAAGCAAAAACAAATTGGGAGACAACCAAAAGACAAGTTGCATAGAAAACAGGCTCTAAGTGAAAAGTCTATTTCTCTGACTGTTTATCATGGTGCAGAGAATCTTGAACCAGAGATCTTTACTCCTGACAAGGAGAATCTCACCCCAAATTCTCATATGTTGAGAAGATTACAAGATATTGGTGACGTGAAAGATAGCAAGAGCTCTTCAAAGCTTTCTGGAAAATCATGCTCGTCACTGGTTCATTCCAGTATTGCTATTCTTGCTTCAGAGGCCTTCACAGAACCAGAAATCTTTACCCCAGATAAGGAGAATCTTACCCCAAACTCTCATATGCTGAAACGTTTGCAAGAATTTGGTGATATTAAGGATACAAAAGGCTCCTCATCTAAAGCAACACGTAAACCATTCTTTGATATTCATTTGGAAGAAAACGTGATGGCAGAACAGAAACCAGAAGATCTACACAGCATGAGCAGCAAATTAAAGGTGAAGCATGAGCCCCTGGCACCGAAGAAGAAAGCTGAGCGGGCGCCTTTTCAACCTCTACTTGAAAAATCTTCGTCCCAAAGTCAGTCATACACTGAGGCTTCTTCTACTGCATCAGCAAGGAACAACATTTCTAGGGGCGTTCGTTCTTCTTCTGTAAGTCCCTACTTAACTCGATTGTCCTCTATTGATTCTTTGTGTAGTTCTTATACTAAACATTAGTTCACTGTGTTTTAGATCCTTTCTGATGGAAAGAGCAAGATGAAGTGGACCATTGTTGTGGATACTTCTTCACTCCTCGACAAGGAGTCTAGGAAGCCACTGCACTTACTACAAGGTCTCAAGGGGACACATCTGGTTTTACCAAGAACAGGTAAAAATCCTACAAACCATAAATCCTCTTTCTTTGTTTATTCTATCATACACCGATAATAGTTTCAATCTTCACTTAAAGCTCTAAATACAAACCATAAAATCATTTTCTTTCTCTATAAGATAAGGCTGTAAATGAATATGAATCTGTCATAGAGATCTGGAAGGCTTTCTCTGTGATAACATAAGCTATAGTCTTAGGATGCCAAAAACCCATTTTGCTGACCAAATCTGTTACTATTTTGTGTTTGGTAATCACTTTTGACAATCTTTTACCATTATAAACATGACTCACCTTTGGTTTCATTGATCAGTTTTAAGGGAAGTAAATGAGGTGAAGCGCAGTCGCAGTTTTCTCTTCAGAAGAAGAACAGAGATGGCTTCGTCAGCTCTGGACTGGATCGAAGAGTGTAAGGTTAATACAAAATGGTGGATTCAAGTCCAGAGCCCATCAGAGGAAACCAAAGCAACTGCACCAACCCCACCAGTCACTCCTCAGTCAAATGGCTCAGCATTCCCATTTTCACTTCACTGGAATAACTATGCACCAGAGATCGATTCTCCTACATCAGAAGATCAAGTTCTAGAATGTGCTCTTCTTTATCGAAACCGTAACCGTGACGAAAAACTCGTTCTTCTTAGCAACGATGTAACTCTCAAGATCAAAGCCATGGCAGAGGTAAATTCACAAGATTCTGTATACATTCCATATTTATAAAACAAAGCACACTTTATTTAGTGTAATAAATAACGTTTTGGTTTGGATTCTAGGGTGTGATTTGCGAGACGCCACAAGAGTTCTACGAGAGTTTGGTTAATCCGTTCTCCGAGAGGTTTATGTGGACAGAGAGCACAGCGAGAGGACGAACTTGGAGCCATCTAGACGATGTCGTCTTGAGAGAAAGGTACAACAACCGAGCTTGTAGGAAAAAGTCGACGTTCAATGGAGGAAGAGGAGAGAGTGGTGCAGCTGCAAAAGGCTTGAAACTCATTTTGCTCCATAACTCTCACTATGCCCACATTCATTGATGATGCATCATCATCATCATCTATCACTATAGCCATATTCAATGATGATGCATCATCATCTATCATCTATCATGTTCCTTCTTTCCAAGTAAGCCAAATAAAATTCTACTCGCTTACACATGGTAATAGGGAATAATGTTTTTAGAATGAATGACACTTCCATAATGTGGCAACTATTATGACTTTCTTTTTTCTTTCTGTTGTGGAATTACATCTGTCTTCCAACGATAGTCGATAGGGATCGTTACTTTACGAAATTAGAGCAATGGATTAATCGGTAAGCTTAGATATCGAGCACACAATTTTCCAACGTAATCACCGAATTAGTTACTCTTCTTGTGGTGTGGTAATGACTAAAAAACACGAAGAGGAGATGGAGGTAGTGAGTTCTCCACATTATAAAAGAATTTGGAAATGGAAATGGTATATCGATTTTGGAATAAAGGTTGTTAAATTAAAATAAACTAGTACTCTTGTAGCTGAGACACCAAGTTCTCTTAGCAATATCAACAAAAATTCGGTATACGAATTTTATGGAAGAGCGAGCTGTAGGCTAACTGAATATCCCCCGTCATTAGTCGGAAAGCATAGCAGTGTGGTAGTGTAGTCCAACACCTAGGCGACGAATCTATATGGTAGCACGGTACGTTACTCTCGGGGCTGACAGGATTGATATTTGCCGACAAATTCTGTCATTTTGAGCTTGAGGTTAACAAAAATAAATATCTTTAAGGGGACATTTTTTTTTTCTTTCATTTGGAAATATCTTCATCTTGTTTGTTTAATGGAAAGCCCAACAAAGCCCAATAGCTTTTGTCTTCGGACCAGTTAATCGCAAGCTCGGAACGAGCAGACGTTGAACCCTTCCACTCTTCGCCGCCGTTGAAACTCCGTTCACCTCTTCCTTCTCTTTCCTCCTCCTACTTCTTTATTCAAACACGAAGCGTTGTTGCGATTCCAAACTTAGGTTGAATCTCAATCGCGATTCCCAATTGGGGAATCTTTCGTCCTCTTGTTGTTCTATGGCTATATGGCGTATAATCAATCGTTCGTGCCTCAAATACGCAACAAACCAGTTAACCAGAAACTACTACACTCAAGTTTGTCTTGCTACTACTCATGTCGTGAAACAGACAACAAAGTTGTCTTCTTTTGACATCCTCAATTCAGATATCTGTACGAGACCTTCTAATATCTTCCAAAATCTCAGATTCCTTGCCACTTCAGCTCAGGTACTCTTAAAAAGTCTCTCTCTTTTTTAGCATTGTGTGTTCTTCTATGCAATTTCTTAAGTCTTAGCTTTGATTTCTGCAATTTGCATATATTTATGGCTTTTCACTTTTGTTTTAGTTTGGTTGATTGGTCCTTCAATATGTTATTGTGGAAGATCTGGAACCCTGCAAGATATTGTGTTATATGGAATTCATCGACTTTAGATGTGTCGATGTTATTGTTTGTTGGAGTTTTCCTACGAAAGACGGTGTATATCTACAGTTTAAATTGTTTAGTTCTGTGATGTTTTTGGCAAATGGATGTTAGTGAGTGAGCAATGGTTTAGTTCAGAGCTGTTATATTGTAGTATGTACTATGATCTTGCTGTCAAAGTTGTTCTTAACTTTGTATTTTCATGATTTTTGTTCAAGACAAGGAAGAAGGAAGCGGAAGTTGACTCTGATGGTCCACGTCTCAATGAGAAGATTACTGGCGATTATGTTAGATTAGTTTCCGAGGAAGGTATATATTATTTCATTTTTTATCTTTTTATGTGGAAAGCCTTAGATTATACAAAATAATGAAAGAGGAAGAGATCCTTTTGTTAGTATTTTCGGTGAAGTATCTTTAGATGGAGTCAGTTGAAAATCCTTTGTTCTTGTAGATTTTATCAAAGAGGTGGGAAGTCCAAAATACAGCTTTAGAATTCATTAATAAAAATAAAAATTTAGTTAGAAGATTCTTATAATCAGTAATGTGTGATATCGTTTTGTCGTTATGCAGGACACTGTGTTGTATCTCTGAGAGAAGCTCTCAGACGGGCTAAGGAGCTCGAGTGTGACTTAGTTGAGGTAACTTTTTAGTTGGAAACATGAGTTCTTCTAGAAGTTGTGTCTAACGATTGCAACCGGAGATCTTTGGTATATCTGTCTGAATTTGTATGTATGATTTGCATGGTGCCTAATTTGTAATATAACTCCATGTGTCTCCTTTCTGAAATAACTGCGGTAGTCGCCATTGTGTGATATCATATTTGTTGTCTACTTCTGGCTGCAAACTATAGCTTTCCAGATTAACTTCTGTTTTTTTTTGGTCTTTAGACGACGGTGCTTCTAATGGTACGATAGATGTGAAATATTTGTCATGAGGCTAATCTCTATATATATTTCTAAATATTTTTTCTTTGCTTGTTTCTTCTTTTCTTGTTGTCTTGTAGGTGCAGAGAGATGCTAAGCCACCTGTGTGTAAAATTGTAAAATACTCGTTGGAGCAATACAAAAAGGCTAAAGTAGGAAAAGAGCGTGCTAAGGCCAAGGTTGGTGATATGGCCTATCCATACTTCAAAATTCTCCTCCTTGTTTGTATTAAATACTAGTTGTGTTTGTGTACTGAGTTTATGGTTTTACCTTGTTCTAGCGGGCTGAAGCTATTCGACCTGAAGTCAAGGAAATTCGATTTACTCCAAAAATTGTATGGTTCTCTAGAATCGCTCTATGTATCTCTTCTTCTTCTTATCTGTGTGGTAATGAAAATCCTACAATGACATTTTTGTTTCACTTTCTTTTTTCTTCAGGAGGCTAAGGACCTAAAGTTTAAATCTGATCAAGCATTGAAGCTGATGGAAAGTGGATATCGTGTAAAGGTAGTAATTTTCTTAGTCACTGGACCTCGACACCTCGATATAGTGGTTTCTCATAGACTCTCGTGGGAAACTTCTAAAAAAGTGATTATTTTGCGAGTGTGTAATTTTATGTTAAACATTATAGCTGTTCTGTGATTGTGCGGTATAAAACAAAACCGTGGTTATATCGCTGCGATGCTCTGCTCACCCTTGTTTTCCTTGATTTGAGGTGAATATAGCAAAATCCTTGGTGAGAATCGATTCATTTATTTCTCTTTCTTTCTTCTCTGTATTGTGTATCAGTGCAATGCAGTGCCTGACAAGGACAAGCATAAGGAACTTGAACCAGAAAAGCTGCTTGAGTTATTATTTCGCTTCACTTGTTATGTAAGTCCCTACTCCTATATGTCCTACGATTTCTTCTATTCGCAATTGTTTCCTAGTTTTATCATCCTTGTTTTGGTTTAATTCCTTTCGTTCATGTATATAACATCCATCCTTATCATAATTATATCTGTACAGATTGGGGATGCACTTGTGGAATTTGGGCCAGAGGCAGATAGAAAAAGCGCAGTTGTGATTGTTAGACACGCCAAGTTTGGCCCACCCAAGAAAGGAGGGGTGAAAAAGTTGAAGGATATTGACATAAAATCTGCAAGAGTGAAAGAAGAAAAGTCTGATAGCTCGGAGGCCGGAGAGTCTACTGTTGATGATCATGGAGATATAGAGAAGTGTGAACCTGGTTTCAGTGTTGATCAGGCTCAACCAGTTCAGGTCCAGAACACGTACGCAAAAAGAGAACCTGGCAGTGAGTTTTCAGGAGGTAGAGATGCAAGCCGGTTTGAACCTCGGTCTCCAAACCAGCATGTAAACCCACAACGTCCTCGGTTTCAAGCTCCAAATCAACAACCTACTGGGCGGATTGATCCTCAGTCTCCAAACCAGCCTCCAAGTGCACCAAGGCCTCAGTTCCCAAACCAACAACCTACAGGGCGGTTTGATCCTCAGTTTCCAAACCAGCCTCCAGGTCCACCACGGCGTCAGTTCCCAGACCAAGCTCCAAATCAGCAACCTACAGGGCGGTTTAATCCTCAGTTTCCAAACAAGTCTCCAAGTCCACCACAGTCTCCGTTCCCAGACCAAGCTCCAAATCAGCAACCCTCTGGGCCATCTCCAAACCGCCACATAGACCGGCAAGGTCCTCCACCTCGATTTCAAAACCAAGCTCCAAATCAACAACCTACTGGCCGGTTTGAACCTCAGCCACCAAACCCACCCCGAGCTCCACCACGTCCACAAACCCGGTTGCCAAACGATACTCCACCTACGGCCCCTGGAAGATCTGGTGGCCCGGCATCAAGTTATGGGATTTTCAGCACCCCAAAAACGAAGTAGAACAACCAATTTATTAAACCCATAGAGTTGCAAAATTTTTCTGATACTTTACTTGGGAGATTTGTTCATGGCTCATTATTTTATGTGTAACTAATAATAGTCCATGCATACACATACACTTGTAACCCTCATTCAAGTTTTGTTTAGTCAGCACCACTCTCAATAATCTATGAACAACAAGATTACAAGTAGTTTCAATGTCAACTAAAGATGGTTTTGCGAAACGGTAAATGAGTTCTACGGAGAGGTTTTTGTGGACAGAGAGTGCTGCGAGAGGAAGGACTGGAAGTCACCATGTTGAGAGACTCGCTTGTAGGAAAAAACTCAATGTACACTGGAGGAGTAAGAGGAGAGAGTGGTGCAGCTACAAAAGGCTTGAAACTCATATTGATATTGCTCCATAACTCTCACTATGGCCACATTCATTGATGATGCATCATCATCAAAAATCACTATGGCTACAAATAATGATGATGCATCATTATCATCCATCACTATGGCCACATAATTCATCCATTATGCATCATGTTCCTTCTTTTCAAGTAAGCCAAATCAAATCAAATAGCTTACACATGGTAACATGGAATAATGTTTTTAGAATGAATGACATTTTCATAATGTGACTATTTTTATAAATCTTTTATTTCTTTTGTTGTGGAACTGCATATGTCTTCCAACGATAGGGATCGTCACTTTCACTAAATTAGAATATTGGGTAAATGCTTAAATATAGACCACACAATTCGTGAACGTGCTTTGACATAATCAACAATTTACTGTTGTTGTGGTGTTGTAATGACTCTTCAAAACATAAAAATCATTATTTTAAAGGAATTGTTCTTTATTATAAGTTTATAAATAATGCTACACTTCTGCACTATGCAACATCTTACACATATTCCACCACGCTCGATATATTTGCGACACGTGAATTTAACTTTCCAAAGAAATAAAAAAGATCAGACTTCAAATTTTTAATGTTTTTGTTTTTTGCTAAATTTGCTTTTAATGTTTTTAAGTATTGGTGTGGACTATGAATAACAAAAGCCGGCAAAGAAAAAAGAAAGAAACAACATCGTTCATGTAATCAAATCGCATTTTAATACATCCTCCGTTTCATAATATAAGACGTTTTGGATAAATTTTTTTGTTCACAATATAAGTCGTTTCATATTTCTATGCAAATTATATATTATTTTAATATTTTATAATTAATTATATTATGGTGTCTCTTTTATAATTAACTGAAATTTTTAAAAATATAGCTCTTTAATCGGTGTGCTTTTTAGCTAAACGAAATGGTGGAAATACAATTTTTTGTAGACAATTTCAGAAAAGTTGACATGTTTTGATTTAAACACAAAAATATATTGTTAGTTGCCCACGTTATGAAATTTAGATTATTTAAACATTGTGATAAAGTAATAAAAGAATGTAGAATTAGAAGTGATATATCGTTTTTGGAATTAAGGTTGTTAAATGTTAATATAAATGGATAAATTCCACTTTGTCTAAAAAAAGGAGTTGATGTAATTAGAGACATAGACACTACAGTTAGAGAGGTTCCCACCACTTTTGTTGGTGTAATCATATTTGCCCACTTTGTCTAAACAATTACTCCTTTTTGTTGTTCTCTTATTTCTTAAAATTGGATTTGAACTCTCCTACTACCTCTTTCTCTTTTTCATATTGATCAGTTTTATTTGTTTTTTTTGACGTAAAATGAAGCCCCTTTTTTTGTTTCGTTTAAATGACACATATTTTATAAATATACATAGAAAAGTCGAATAGAAATTCGCATGCGTTTTATCGATAACTATATGTTTTAAAAAAAACAATATGCAGTTTAAATTTGAGTAATCACCAAAAACGAAGCTATATGAATCATAGGATCGGAGGTTAGATGACACCAATAAAATTATGGAAATCATAATTACCATTAAACAATGTTAAATACTCCATTTTGTTTGATAAGTTGATTTGGTCCACCTTATTTGAAACCATTCCATGAGTACGAGTGCCCAGTGCCCACTGCTCACAAGCCACAGCTCCTTTCAGTTTTCAGTTTCGCCTTTTTTTCCTCCTACTTTTTAGGTTATTCTATTAGCTATGCATTGGATACAAATGTTATTTTCGATAATGATTTCTTTCCTTTGCTTTGTTTTTTTTTTCTTCTTTTGGTGACAGTTTTTTTTTTTCTCTTTCTTGATTTATTGTTGTTGGTTACATTTTGACGACAATTATATTCTCTTTCTTGATTTTCTTACTTACCATTTTGGAATTAATGTTAACAAAAAATACCAAAGATTAGTTTTAGAGGGTTTTTTTTTTAATTTTTGTTTGAAAATATTTCCAGTTTTATGTCCTATTACTAGGATCGGACCCGCGGTCCACCGCGGGGGAATATTGGTTTACATACGTTGAGTTTAATATTGTGTGTGTTTTTAGTAGAGCGAATCGTGTAGTATACTTATAAATATTCATAATAACGAATTGTAGAGAAAATGTTAAATTGTTTATAAATAAACCCATCGTATTAATTATGATTTACAAAATAGAATTTTGTGTTTTAGAATTCTAAAATTAGACGATTCATGGGAATTAGAGCAGTCACTTTAGGTCAAAAACCGCGGGTCAAGCCCAAATCATCTCACTATGGGGCAGAATTGGGAAAATATATTAAACCCGCAAATAAGCGGGCCACATGGATTAATTCGCAGTGGGTCATAGGTTTAATCGATTTTATCCGCGGTTTGGCGGATCAGCCCGCATGTTAGTATTTATTGATAAAATTATAATTTATTCAACATGTGGTAATTTAAACAAACTTTTAATAGTATTTTTATTTATTTATTTATTTTAGTAGTAAAGTAAATTTTGGTTACTTTAAAATTATTTAAACAAAATCCACGGACAATCCCGCAAATCCGCATACATTCGCGGGACGGGTTTGTATTTCATATATGCTATCCGCGGGTCGTGCGGACCGACTAACTACAAGTCAAAATATTTTTTGCCTTTTCGCAAAACGGGCTTAACGGGACGAATCAACTCGGTTTGACAGCTCTAATGGGAATATTATTTAGTCATACAACAAAATGAAGTTTGGACATAGGAATAATAGAATATGTATCTTATTTGTTAGATGAGAGATTGAAAGATGAAATATAATGATTAAAAAATAATTATTAATTTTCATGATTCACAAAATTTAATAAATACTAATCATCTTGTTGAATAATTCTAAAATGATATTCAAGAAATCTTTATAAATTGAAAATTAAACTTCTTTGGTAAGCTATAGGTATGAAAATACCATTATTTTGATTTAATCTAATTAAATTAAAAATATCAAGTAATCTAGAAATTTTTGGAAGCAAGTAAGATATGTTTCATAAAACAGATGGGTTATTTGTGGCAAAATATCAAGTAATCTAGAAATCTCAAATAACCGCGTTGTATAAAACAGATGGGTTATTTGTGATAAATTTTCTAGAAATCTTTAGAAGCAAGTAAGATATGTTTCAATTAATGATAATTGGCTAAAATGAGCGAAATTAATGACAAAAACGTTGATTGTTATGGAATTAGTTCCAAAAATATATGAACAAATTTATTATACGTAATTAATGTATAATATTGTTCGGAATATGCTTTTATAATTAGTTACCATAAGTACAATTAGATTTTATTTGATTTCCATAAATTTTTGATTTTAATTCGATTTATCATTATTAATTCGAATTTTATATTCCAAAAAAATTTCAAAGATCCGATTTCAGAATTTCGGGTCAATTTTCTGATTTTAACCCGACCCATTTTCATTTGTACTTCTCTTTTAATAGTATAGAGATTTTAATGTATGGACTAATAAAATATTTCGTGTTATGAATTAGTATTAAAGAATAAAAAAGTAAATTTAATTATTTTTAATAAGTGTGAGAACACTTAAACGATATTTAAAATAAAACGGAGGGAATACTGTTTAGATATATTATTACTCCAATCTAAATCCTTCTGATCGATTCCATTATCGATGATGATGTATTAATATAACTAAATAAGCTGTATGCTATCATGGTCAGAGACTTATACTATTGTTTATAGATAAATTTTTTGTAAATTCCCTTTATTTTTATTTTGAAAATGAGAATGAATTAAAGAGCATTAACTTTATTAAGTTAAGTTTGGGGTCGTTAGTATCACATTGGTTTTGAAAATGTGAATGGTGTTGCTATTATTATCACATTGGTTTTGAAAATGGTGAATGGTGTTGCTATTATCGGTGTCCGGTGACACTCTTTAATTAGCTCATAAGGGATTTAGCATGTGGGAATCTTGTGTTTCCCAATCAACGATCCATTTTATTTATTAAAGATAATTTTTTTTATTTATTAAAGATAATTTAATTTAACGTAGAAAGTTCATTAGTATTCAATTTTGGCCTTCCAACGAGTGCATGAACGAGAGAACCTTCGTGGCAGGTGACTCCACTTGGCTGATGTAATTTAATTTGGAGATTCCTCAAAATTCAAGTAACTTTATCCTCTTATTTATTTCCTTTGTTTGAAAGTGGCTTTATTCCTCTATTCAAGATATTCATTCTTTGGAAATTTTCGATATCTATCCAGATTTTTAATATAATTAATAGTATGATCATAATTTCTGTTGGAGAAGAACTAAGGGTTGATTTTTTTGTTTTGTTCGAAACATAAAACATGTTTGAAAACTATTTGTAAACACGTACATGTACTGATGTACATGAAAACCCAGACGTAAATAACATTTTTTTGTTCTATATATATTTTGTGTCTGAAAATAGTTAGAATGATTATTTCTTATATAGCTTATTAACATATTTATACACATATATACGAATATACCTAAACATGCATATAGAATCACAATTTGTTTTCGCAACCATAAATACTATGGATCAAAAATATCTTTTTATCGGATGTTTCCGAAAGAACAGATTAAAAAAATTAGATTAATTCTGATATAAGTATTAGATGTATGCTTCAAAATCTGGTAAAGTGTTAGAATTAAGACAAGTTAAAAGACACTCGTCTTAGATTCTAAAGTAGATGAATTTAAAAAAAATGTAGCAGACTCATTTTGGAAGTGAAATAGATTTACTTTCGTGTAGATAACAAGACGGTAGTTTTGAGACTAAAATGT